AATCACTTTTCTGCAAAACGAAGTAACCTCCTCCACATATTTACTTCGTAATCCGTAAAAGCATTTTTGAAACCATGGTTTGGTTTCTAGCCAAACACCCCCGAAGACAAGGTTGTTCTGTAGCAGCGAACACCGGAATGATTAATGAATGAGCTGGGGCCAATATCATTAATGCAACCTTACCCTAACAAAAGGGGAGAAGGAGGAACCTTATTGCCTCCTACTCCTATTACGTGATCAAATATTATACGGCAGTGGCACGAGTTGGCAAATCATGGTTAGTTATACTCCTAGAAAAAATAACTGAATGGTTGACTGGCTGCTAAACGCCCTCGTGATCTAACAAGAAGCTATCGTGTCTCTGATCAACTCTTCCTTGATAGCAAATGGAGGACGATGAAGGAAGCTAGACCCTGTTTCTTTTGTATCATCTTGCACTGCTTGCTGTTTTGAAGTAATAACATTTAGTTTCTATTCAAAAAATATTACTACTTTAGGTTTTTAATATAAGAGCTAAATGATTAATTTGAATAAAATAAGAAAATTAGTCAAATTGATTATTTGTTACAAATATATATTATTTTATCTAAATTATCTTCTCCAACAATGTACATTAGAGATTATTAGAATTATCGATTGGTGGGAATTTTTTTATAATCAATAGGGATATTTTGAGAAAAAATAGAAAATAAAATAAACTGAAGTTTTATATTTAAAACCAAATTTAATCTCCTAGTTAACTTTTATACCAATGATCAGACAGGGTATATGGCACTAGAATGGTGCTAAGTTCCTACCGCTATCTAATTTAAGTGGGATTGAGTTCTGTCCTTTATTTAGAAACAGATTTTGTATCTATTTATTGTTCATTTCCATGTTTCAAACAACTATGGTATTTGTTATTTTTAACTACCAGCAGCTCCGAACTCTATCTAGTTTCAAGATTAAGAATTTAAGGCCCATAATCAGGATTAAATGATACTCCTCCGGTCCTAATTATAAGACCCAATTGACTTATTTGAGGAGATTAAGGAAGTAAGTTAAGTTGGTTATTTATAATAAATAAGTGTTGTCATTCCTAAAATATCCTTGCTAATTAAGTATATTGGCTAAAACTATCATTATTAGAAGGATTATCTTGGAAAAAATACATAAATATAAGAGACAAAATGGATTGGGGTCTTATAATTAGAACCAAATAAAAAGTCAAATGGGGTCTTATAATAAGGATTGGAGGAGTAGTAAATCCAACGGTATAAAAATATAGACTGAACATTCTTTGTGTTGACTAGAAGCTGATATAAGATTTACTTGATTTAAAGTTTTCCATTTTAAACTTTCACTTATTCATTAAACTCAAAATAAAAAAACTATTATTGGTATGCATATGCATGGCTGTATAACTCACCGTCAATTGATTACTGACTCTTGAAGAAACACACAAGAAAATCTTTTTTAGCTGAGAAGTTCATTGTATTAAAGCAAAACAATGGGTTTGGTTCTGGAAATAAAAGTATGAAAGTTGAAAGGAACGTTCCACAAATCCCAAATTCCCAATATTGTCCCTTATTTGCATAATACTGCTTCAAATTGTTAATATCAAAGCTCGTTTAATTTTTATTTTAGTTATAAATATAAGACTAAAATCTATTTTGTTTATAATATTTATATATTTTTTCTAATATAGTTATTGTAATAGTTACACATGTTAAAATTTTAATTAAATGATAGTTTTAATTGATACACAATTAGTAAAGATATTTTAAAATATATATATAATTATTATAAATAACTAATTTAACAAACTTTTTAAATTTATTTAAATCAGTCAACTAATATTTACATGGATAGCAGCTTACGGTATCCAAATTTTAAGATTCACATCATATCGGTTCATCCCCTCTCTCATTGACATTGACGACTATTCCCTGGTTAATGAAATATCGATTTCGAGCTCGTCTTCCCCCCCAAAAGCAAAAAAAGTAACCCCAAACATTGATTATGTAATTAGTGCATACATCTTTTTTTTTTTTAGATTTTTTTTTGGGAAACATGCGCAACGTGGGATACTATTGTATAGTGGAGGAGTGATGAGAAATGATAAGTATATATTGAGAACGAAAAGAAGGATTCGAGGAAGAAAAGAGAGCTTCAGGCCGAAAAAAGGAGAGAAGGAAAAGAGAGTGGGCCCCAATACCGCCGACAAGCGCGTGAAAGTGGGGCCCCATCATTTTGTTGCTCCTGCTCAATCCGATAAATCGCGCTCCTCGCGGAGCGTGCGATAGCTTTTATAATTTATTTTTTGACCCCTTGTGTTTCTTACTTTCTTCACGGACAGTTCTGTTTTATTCCTGCGGAGTTGCGATGTCTTCTCTTCGTTCATGGAAGCCGATCACCCGCTCTTTTATTTGTGGGAAAATTAAAAGGAGGCGGAGATTGTAATCAGTATTCGCTCATTTTTAACAACAATATTTGTGTCCATATTGAACAAATTAAACCATGTTCTTTTCCGGTCCTTAATATAAGATCTATTTAACTAATTTGATTAAATTAAGAAAGTTAGGTAAGTTAGTTAATTTTAAAAAAATATGACATATTTTTCTTAAAATACCATAATTATCTTTCTTAATACCCCATCTCCTCTTCTACTTGATTATGATTGAAGGAGTATCCATAAAGGTAATTTAGAAAAAACTGATAAATATAAGAAATGATTTTATATTTATGATCAAAACTAACTCAATAATTGGTTCTATATTAAGGACCGGAGGAGTATATTATTAATCTGTATTTCAGGAGCATTTTACAGGGTTTTTATGGAAATTAATCCGGTTGCATACACGCGCACAATCATATTAATACCAGATATAAATCCAGGCCAGGTCAACATAGCGAGGCAAGAAACGCTGATATTAGGACAACTAGTCATTGATAAAATTATGATATTGGTTATTACACTACCAATTTAGTTAAAAAAAAAAAAGACTGAGTTTTTGACCCTTTAAAATATTCAATTTTCTTTATGCTACTACCAAATTTCTGATTTCTGAATTCAGTTTTTCATTATAATTTCTTTCTATAATATACGGATTAATATATAGAGGTCTAGATTCAACACAACGAGGATGATCATAACCGAACAATTAGCTAATAAAGGTGAACGACCATTCTAAAATGTAGTTTTCTTACCATGCAGATGAATTTAAACTATTTTCATTCGAGTATACCATATTTAATAAGTTATTGATATGTGATTACATATTTTTCAATAGGTGTTTATTAAGTGCGATGGATTCCATCAAGTTATGATTGAAGTGCCTTACAAGTGGACGGTCTTTCACAAGTTTACTTAGTTTAATTTTGCTATTTTAACAACTTCAAGGGTAAATACTGATTATGAACATTTTAATCAGTTGCAATTCTTTTTTAATTCAATAACCAAAACAAACTCCTGGAACATAGAAACTGAAATAAAACACCCAAACAACCATAGCCCAAAACTCCCAAGCTTAGCAACTAAGTCGTTTGCCTGTCTGAGCAGCTCTGACACCAGAAACTTCAATGACCTCGATCTATCTTCACATGAATGACCTCCAAAGCAGAAGGAGCCGAAAAACAGTACCATCTGAACCTAAACCTAAATCTAAATCTGACCTGAATTAATAAAAGAGAAAATGTCACTTCTTATCCATAGATCTCTAACGTGTTTCTGAATTTAGAAGATGACGATTGATGACCGCCACCACCTTACAAACACAAAAGGGCTGATGTGTCCCATTAAGTAAACTAAACAGATAACATTAATTTGCATCTAACACGTATGAAAATAAAAATAAAAATTAGTCCTTCATCTTCTCTTATACAGAAGGCTGTGGGTTCCATATTCTAATTGGCTAAAAACGGGATAGGTGCGTGTGGGTTTTCTCCCGTTTTATATGGTTAAAATTGGGAGGAAAAAAAATCATACAACGTAGAAAACCCATGATCTTACTAAACACACCGACACAATTTTCCCAAGTTGCATAAATCTGGAAATTTTATGTAAACATTGTCAGTGTCAATGGTTTTCCAAAGGATGTTACTAAACCTTTATATGTTTACTCTTTCATTTGCATATTTACATACAATTTTGAACATCTACAATTCATGTACAATTCTTAACTAAAGATGCATGATCTCGGTGAGTTTTAGTATTCTGACTCCCTATGCAATCCTTGACATAAATTTCTTAATTTACAAGTGCATCACTTTTTCAAAAAACATATCAATTCATTTTTTTTTTCACTTGGTTATGTATAAGAATAATCTTATTAGATGTAATTCTATTCGGGATATTGTCAAATACCACCTCTGGTCTTTAATATAAGACCTTATTTGACTTTTATTTTGGTTCTAAATATAAGATTCTAATTCACTTTGTTTCTTATAATTTATGTATTTTTCCTAATATAGTCCTTCTAACAATAGTAGTTCTAGTCAATACACTTGATCAGCAAGGATATTTTAGAAAAAATAAAACATATTTATTACAAATAACTAACTTAACTTCTTTCCTTAATCTCCTCAAATTAGTCAACTAGCTTTTATAACTAGGATCGGAGGTAGTCCTAAATATAAGTATTTTTTTCAGCAAAAAAATTTTCTCATTGTGAGATATTAACTCTTCTGTTGGACTTAATCCTGGTTAGTTATTTGGTCACTTCATTCTCAAAATATGCCAACACACTCTACGGGTTCAAATCACGGTTGTTCTCCCCCCCGCCCCCCAACTGCCTGTTTTAAGGAACTTGTAATGTGAGACTAAGATCCAAAGGAACTTGTCCGATACCAATTTGGATTAGCTTAGCCCATAATAACTGATGTACCCACTAGGAACGCGGCCTATAATATTTTTCACGTGCCAAAAAAACAGCATAGGGAAGCTTCACCGAAAAAGAAAAAAAAAATCAGTTCCCCTTTTCCCTAGTTCGAAAAAGGACGACTTCAACGTTACTCTGCCCGGGAAAAAAGAGCGTTCCTATCGTCGCGGGGGAAAAGAACGATAGTGTTGCGCGGGCGCCCAATGTCTCTAGAGGAGCCTATTAGAATCCAAAGATTCAAAGAACTTCCCAGGGCCTCTGATTTTGAGTCTCTTGTCGAAACAAGAAACGTTCCTGCTGTAAGAACACTCATCGTTTCGAGTTTTTGCTTCACTTTCTCACCAATAGCTTCAACAGAATGAAAAGCTGAACTCTCTGTTTCGCTTGTTGCTTACCTGGGTATTTATCTGTTTATCTGTTGTTTTTGATACTCAAAAGGTGTTTAGTGGATGCACCAAGGGATGGAGAGCGTTCTCCAAGTGGAATCCTTCAAACGGAGGCCTTGACTACTTGCAGGTTCATCTTTTACTTTACTGCTCTGCATAGTCCATGGTAGAAAATCTGTTTTTTTCTCCATGCGTTCTTGCCCATTACGAGTTCCCTTTCCTCTTTTTCAAATCCAATATTCGATTATAAAGCAAGCAAAGTACAACAAAAATGTCAGTCTACTTGAAGAGCTTGGTTTTGTATCTTCATAGTTAATTCTGATTTAAATTAAAAGATTGCCCTTTGAAATTTGAGTTGCCATGATAAGTAAAGTTGCGTTAGGTTCAAGTGTATGATTCACATGGCTTTCATTGCAAATTTCAATGCGTGAGTCACTGCTTGCATCTTATAGATGAAAAGCACACCGAGCTATTCCTTGTTTTGGAGTATCTGATGATCTTTTGCAACATATTTATAAATCATTAATAGTTTTATCTTCGTTCTACCTCCCATCTAGGAACGGGTAGGGTCCTTCATGGTGGAGGCTATGCTTTCTCGATCTGCACCTATCTTCTACGGTGATATTGGTAGCCATGAAAGGGTAATTACCTATAATCTCCAATTTGATCTTGAAATTTGGTACTTCTATAGTGGTACTAAAGAATCAATTACACTATTTTCCATCGTTATCAGGTTCCTATATTATTTTCTACCTTCGTTGGCCTTTGCAAGAAACACATACAAAATAAAGATGGAGGCCTTGATGCTTGTTTTGGGCCTCTAAGACACGATCCTGTGGGTTCCAATACTGAACATGGCTCTTTGCACTTGGAAGACGTTCCTGAACAGATTTATTTAGCTCAGGTTTGAAAATTCAAGATCTATGACATGATGTGTACCTTTTCTATTGATTCACAAAAGAACTTGTTCCTGACGAGTATACACAGCTTTAGCTATTTCCATGTCTTAATAATGTTCAGTAATTATGTATACTTTGTCTTGGGTTTGCTGCTGTCTTCTTTTGATTTATTTGAGATTGACAGTGCCATAATTTTTGAATGAAATCTAATGACTTGTTAGTCAGGTGGCAATCATGAACAGTGATCATGAGGACAGGGTTCAATTGGAAGCATTGAGGGAAGACGTTCAGATAGTTAGTTCATTTCTCCTCACAATTTTGTCACACATCTATAGTTTTACATATCATGCATTGTTCTTCAGAGAATTCTGATTATTGATATTTGTTTACTGCAGCCTCCGATTTTGGAGGCAAAAGAGCTATCTTCTATCAATCTGTGGATGAACAATGCTCAAGCTAGATCTAGTACTCACTATGATCCGCACCATAATCTTCTGTGCATAGTTTCTGGGCGCAAACAAGGTAAGAGATGTACCTTCTTTCAGAGGTACCATTTCCTTCTTTTAATAGATTTTTTCTTCTCTACAGTAGTGGTCGTACACTGGCAGCCTCTGCCAGGTGCGTCCTATCAGTTATCTACGGAATTCAACAGACTGAATGGCTTACTAATGTTTTAATCTGGTTAATGTCTAAACTATAAAGTAATGTGGCAGAGTGGATGTTTCTCCTCATGGTGTTTTGGTACTTTTGATCCGCATTTGCAACCTGCTTTAGTCTTGATTTTCTGTTCTAGTCTACATTGGGGAATGAAATGTTGGGAGAGCTAGTTTTACTCTGGCTTCTCAATTTCTTGTCTAGCTTAAATGTTTTATTTGGATATACTTTCTAATGAATCTTGACAACTTATGCGGGAAATTATAATTAAAATACTAATTTATATTCTTTGCAGTTCTTTTATGGCCTCCTTCAGCTAGTCCTTTACTATACCCAATGCCTGTATACGGGGAGGCATCTAACCACAGGTATGCTACAATCTTTACTAGCAGTGGAAATGGAAATGAAATAGGAAAAATTTATTTACAGGCAATTCGTATAATTCCCCAATCAAACCTTGTATATGTCATATTTATTGGAGAACCATGCGATTTTCTTGTTTTTATTGAGGAACCTTATACTAAGAATATAATGAATTGCATATAAGTCTAATCCAATGAAATTTTTGTTTATTTTCCTCTACCCTTTGAATATATTTACTAATAATTCTTTTGTGCTAAGCTTAGTGACTCTCTTTTTTACTTTGGTAACTTATTCTGTATTCTCTTCTGCTCTTTTGCCCTCCCTTTCTCCAAAAAAAATGTGGCAGTTCTGTTGCTCTAGAAAACCCTGATTACTCACTTTATCCAAGGGCAAAAGGCTCAATGAAGTTTGCACAGAAAGCTGTTCTTGAAGCAGGCGACGCACTTTTCATCCCTGAAGGCTGGTAAGGTCTCAAATTCATTTTTTTCCACAAAAAGATCTTTATGGAGAAATCTTTCTCTGTTGTTTGGAAGATTCTTCCTCTTCTGATCTAGGCAAAATGGTTCAGGCTGGTTAGTTTTAAAAAGGTGTTTGGGTCTGGGTCCCCCTAGTTTGTCATTGCTTTTTTTACTGTAACTTTGCCGTGAGGGTCTTCATTTTTGGGTATCCTCATCTCACTTTGCAGTTAGGGTCTTGTTTTTGGGCATCTTCACCTTACGTTCTTGTTGAGTTGGGGCGGTTAGACTATCCAAAGTTGGTTGAAATGGTAATTTTAGCCCGTTCTTCTTTTTGGCATTTATCAAGAATCAAGATGGTCTGGTCTGTGATGATTATTAGGATTGGAGTTGTTTTGCTCACCTCACGGCTATTTTGGGTGGCAATTTTTTGGACAGGATCATCCTGTTCAGTGTTTTTCACAATTGCTTGACTGTATTTGGTCATGTAAGAGCATTGTCTGTTCTGGCCACTCAGGTGTTATCAAACCTAAGTGTATTACGTTGATGATATACTATTGCAATTCACCTTTGAGTACTTAGTACAGTACATCAGAATTCCAAATAGTGGTTGGCCATTCGCAAGAGTTTGAAAACAATGCATTATACTTATCATCATAAAAAGACATCCGCATGAATTCTATCATCACAGTAGGTAGTTAATCTGTCCAAAAGCCAATAAAAGGTTGCTAGAGATGATTGGAAATGAAATCCTAAAAATCAATCTAATGGAGTTCATGATTGAGAGTAGAGATCACAAAAGATTAAACAGAATTCATGGCAAGAGCTTCAAGAAGAATCCCTGAAGTTACATTGGTGTTAGCACTTTTAGAGTATTTTCCCTGGTTGTTGTGTGCCTTAGACAGGCTTTTTATAACTTTTATGCTGCTTCTTCAAACAAATGGCCTGTGTGAATTTTCATGGGAAGAATATGTAGCCTCCTGTATGCTGGCTTCTTAATATCTCTCGAAACACACAGCTCATGTGGGAAAAAAGAAAAAAGCATGGATAGCTGTGTGACTTGCTGTCTTTTGTCCCAAAATTTTCTTCCAGATCATGCAGTCGACTTCCTAATCTAAAGACACTAATTAAGTGTAAGAAATCACATAAATGGATCAGAATTTAGGAAGAAGTGAAATAAAGTGTCAGAAAATACTGGGCATGACTTGCCTCTGGCCTAATCAGCTTGCCACACAAGCCATCAGAAAATCAACTAGCAGATGCTTTAACTAAAGGTCTATCCACCACAAGGTTTTGGGAAATATATTGCAAGGTGTGGATGGAAGGTATCCACCCACCAACTTAGGAGAGCGTGTAGTTCGTGGTCAAGTTTCTTTATTAGAAAAGATCTAGTTCATGGAAAATGTCCTTTTATTAAGTGTATTATTTTATTCATACTAGTGGTGGCGTTAGAATCAAATGCTGAAACGTAGCTGCAAACAGTTGTGTCCTGTGCTTTATGAGTTTCTAAATATTAATGTCACGAATGTTCTTTTGCTGTAGGTTTCATCAGGTAGACAGCGATGATTTGACTATTGCTGTTAACATTTGGTGGAGATCCAAGTTAATGTCTTGCATGTTGGAACACATGGATACATATTATTTGCGCAGAATATTGAGAAGGTACTGATGATGTAATTCTTTGTAGAAAATGCATCACTTTATATTCCTATTTGATAAACTGACTTTTGAAAGTTATATTTATTTCAAATACCATTTGTCGGACAAATCAATGGATGCAATCAAAGATTGATAGACAAAGAAATGGTATGTGCCTTACACGATCCATTTATTACTAAAATGTTTTAGGAAGCCTGGATTCTTTATGTTTTCTTTTGTCGGTTGTATTACTGAACCTTTATATCTTTGCTTTTTTTTTTTAACTACACCTTTGGACATGTACAATTCATTACTTATGTTACTTTTTTTTAACTACACTGTCCTTCCCTTGTTTTTTGTTTGGCAAGTATCACTCAATGGAGTAAACATTTTTGAAGTAGTCAATGACTTACAATTGATAATTCTTTGTCATTAGAATTAGATTGCAGTTTTAGGAAAAATTTCACAGCTAAGGTTAAATATTGGTTGCTGATATAGTGATAAGCTTAAATTCTTACGAACACCCATCATCATATACCTTTTCTCTCCCTCTTTCATATGAGTGGAGAAAGAGGGGCTTGCTAGCTTTGGCCTTTTGCAACTTAAAAAAGTTCATTGTTGAGCCAAGCCATCTGTTCTTTTTCCTTGCTTTCTTCCTTTTCTTTACCAATTACGTTTTGTAAGGGGCTTGCATTTATGATGGATATTTTTAATTTAGGACAGGATCAACTACTTGAAAAGTCTGGGATGAGTAAAACCAAGGTATGTGCATACAAGCAACCTGATAATGGAAAACCAGGTCAGTTAGTTATAAGATGGCTGAAATATAGTTAATTGATGCCATAATTTTCTATGTTTGTCACCTTGAAAGAGAAAGAAATTTGCAGCTTTTTTTTTTTTTTTTTTTAACCAGTGGGTTTCTAAATGGCATTGATATTCTGCTTACCAGATCATGGTGATGATAGTGATACTCTGATGTTAAAAGGGATGAAGTTGAAAGGGAAAAGATTTGAAGGCGAGAACATGTTGCTTGAATTAGAACCTGCCGCCGCCCAGGTGCTTCATGAACTTGTTTCCTTGGTTCACAGCAACGTGAGTGTGGCTGATCAGCAGCAGCAGTTGCTGCCGACTTCGATAAATGATACTGAGCTTGGAGTGAGTGATGAATTTGAGAAGCTAGAGACTGCTAATTTGAAGGATGATCCAGTGGCTAAAATTCTTTGGGATGTTGAGCCACAAACTCTCAGAAATGCCTTTCTAGCTATGGCAGTGAGTTCCTTGAAAACTTACCAGATTAAATCATTTGGTCTTCTTTATACACTCTTGAACTATGATTTTGATGATTGTATCATGATTAGACAGGGTGTAATAAATATAAAGGCTCTATTACTTGATCATATAAATGAAACCTTCTAAGCGATTGGACCTCATTTGTGGCATTTTACTCATGTTTGGGAATTATATCATGAGATTCTCTTTGCCATGAGAAAATGAGCTGCTAATTACAACTTGTCCTTTCCTCTATTGCTTGAGGTAGCTGACTTTTATAGTTTAATTTGACTAAAGTTAGGTGCGATATGGCCATTTTCTTCTATTTTTTGCATTGTGCATTCTATTGGTCTTCCTGGTAATATGATATTGAAGCTGCTCCAGCTTCTGCACATCAAAAGTTATGACTTAGCTCATATAAGCTCCTTGATTTCTATCTATAGATGCTGGTTAATTTTTAAAATAGTTCTGAGAAGTCATGATGCATTGTTTCAGTTTCAATTACAAGGCATGTTGTATTATGATGATTTATTATTTTCAGCAAAACTTCCCAAGGACGTTAGAGGCTCTTGTGCTGCATGTACTCTCACCTGTGGGAGCAGAAGTTCTTACTCGCAAGTTTGATGAGATGGATCAACAAACTCTTGCAGAAGATCGGTACTTGCTGATATTTTCATGTGTTCCATGTGATTGCTTGTCGCATAGATAGCATCAACTTTGTTAGCTAACTCTTGATATTGTGACTTGTGATTTTAGGAATAGATTTTATGAAGCCTTTTACGGTGCTTTTGGTGACCAGTCCATGGCAATGAGTTCTATTCTGAAAGGGAAGGAGTCATTTGCTCAGCAGGTATTTCCTGTGCTTTCTCTTGAAATTCTATTGTGAAATTCAACTTTCTGTGTCATTCATTTATGCATGATGAATTTGATTTTTGTATGAGCCTCAACATTTGCAAGATTCTTAGAACTAAAATGATCCCTTATTTCTCATAGGGGACAATAAGCCAACTGGTCTGATCTGATATGGAAATTTGATTTTTGTATGAGCTTCAACATTTGCAAGATTCTTAGAACTAAAAGCTTTCTCATAGGGGACAATAAGCCTACTGATCTGATCTGATCCATTGTAATTGTCCCTGTAGTTCATGCAAGTAGTTTTACTATGGAAAACATGAAGTGATTTATTGCAACCTAAATTTGTTTGTACATGAACGATAATGCTTCCTTTATTGTTGCTGTGGATTCCTGATGATGTAAGACCATTTGTCCGTGTGCAGCTGAGTTATCTGAGTACTAACTTCCCACTTGTGATGATAATTTGCATAAGAAAAATCTTATTTTGAACATCATGTTTATTGCTTCCTTTGGTGGTCCCCCCACATGAAAAGCTATTTGGTTGATGCGATTTAGTGCTAGAGCTGCTTGGATATTTCTAGTTTGTGTACCCCAGGAAACTATTCACAGTTACAGTTTGTTTGCTTCTAAACCAATTAATCATAAAAGAAGCGGGCAGGTTAACAGGCAAAAATTGTGCAGGCTACCCTGTCCTGTTATTGTGTGGCCTGAATTTCTTGATTTGAACCTTGATGTGCATCTAGTGTCCTAATCCATAACAATTTGTATTAGCAGATGTAGATCCATTGCATCTATAACATTTGTCATGCATGTCATTTTTTTTCCAAATTGGATTTGAACCCATCATTACTTTTTGACCAAACTTTTTTTTATTTTTTTGGTATCAAGCGATCCTGACATATTTTACTGTGATGTTTCTTTTTCTTTATTTCCCCACTGTGAGATGTAAAGATTTTTTTTTTTTTTGGTGAATAAGATTTTTTTTAAAAAAAATATGCATTGATGATGACAATTTCTCTTTTTGATTTTCTCCTTCATCATTATGATCTGAGTGCATGGATCTCTGCATCAGTTGCTCTGCATGTGCATTGAAACTTTAGTTTCACTTTGTTACGTGAGAGAATATGCAGTTCGATTAGGAGATCTTTTGTTTTGTGAGGAAATATATGCAAAACTTTAATGGTAAATTATGCACATCAGATTAATTCAAGCTAATTATTGAAGATATTAAATTCCTTGAGAAAATTTTTGCGGCACTCCTTTGAAGTATTTTCTGATGAAAATATTCATATCCTCCCCATGCTGTTTGTTACAGGCATTCAAGAATGTGTTGGAGAAACATTTGGGAGTGAATCCGGAAAGTTCAAAACCCGGGTTCAGATGAGATGCCTAGTGGTGTGAACTTTATGGACTAATTGGCCCACTGGGAATCTTTATAGAGCGAATTGATGCATACTCGAAACTGAAGTTTTTTTTTTCTTTTCCATTTTGGTACGTACTTTAATTTGTCAGTCTTCCAACGTTCAACAGATGATGATTACTATTTTGAACGGTGTTGTATATGTCAGATACATACAAGCTATCTTTTTGTTTTTTGTTTTTTTTGTTTCAAAACCAATCTACATAATAACTATCTGATCAGTGTGTTTCGACACTCGAGCAACTTAATACGTTGAAATTATGTTGGGCTGTTACAATTACCCCATAATTTGTCTCCTTCCCAAGATGCATGTTGTCTAGCTTGGAGTTTGGATGAACTCTTTCTATGTAAATGAAGTTTAACAACCTCTCTTATTCAGAGTGACCCTGTATGCGCAGAAGAGATGATGCAATGAAGGGCGGGGTCAGGGCATGGGATGTGGAGAATCTTGGGAAATAATGTATGAATTACAAGTACGCGCATTTCTATCGCTCCTTGCAACTTTAGTACGCTTGCAATAAGTTTACACTGGGATGTAAACAGTTTTCATTGAAGTGATTAGGTTTTTTTTTTTTTTTAAAGTAAAATCAGAAGAACGAGTTGGGTGACGGGCATTTGCATCGTGCTTCAGCATTATTGTAGTGGACCTACTACTAGCTTGGTAGGAAAAAAATTGAGAGCTTAAAACTGAATCAAAGGCCCTAAATAAAAGACCTTGATATTGCAATTAACTTTTAATCATATTCACTCGTTAGAAATTAAAATATGGGAGAACAGCCGAATAATGGTTTTCGAGTAGCTAAACAGGGAATATCACCGCCCAAGATTCTTTGTACGTTAGAGTGCATTCTGGTTGCAACGATCAGTGTGTTGTATGGTAAATAAGCTATTGCGTGAGGATTTGCCGAAGAAGTAAAGAAAAGAAAAGGGAAGAAAAGCATGAAAAATAAAGTTTTGGTAATAATCAGGAGTTGAAGAAAGAAAAAGAGGAAAAGGGAAGTTGAGTTGAGAAGAGATTCCTTAGTGGAAGATGACATGAGCAAGTATGAAGGAATAGAAGGGAGAAGGGAAGCTTTTGGTTTGTCTCTTTGTGCAGGGGGGGGATATGAAAAGACACAGTTTTTTTTAGTAGGCAAATGGGATATATAGTACCCCCTAACCCTGCAACTTATAAATTTACTTTCTAAAAGCTTCAACATATACACACACCATAACACCCAAAACCTGCTTTTGTTAATCCCTAGGCCTTTTCCTTTCTTCCCCAGTGGATATACTGTTTTAATGACAACCAACTTTTTCCACCCCATTTCCTAGCCTAAGATGCTGTGCATGGAAGTGGAACTTTAAAGCCGTCGTATACGCAATTTTCCACACAAATTGTTTCTCTTGTTGCAATTTTCAAAATGCATTCAGTTTTGTGCATCAAATAATTGAGTTCTTAACAACCCAGTACTAACACGGTACTGAAACTAGTTGAAAAAATTATGAACAGCCGATCTAAACTCTTTGTATACATGTTGAAGATCATGATATCGTTGCTAAAGTTGAAAATAAAAATTGAAGTTCCAGCTTTGCACAGAATTTGATAAAGTGTTCACACACTCCACAGGAAAGAAGGCTAAGGGACAGTGATTTTGAAACTTTGAGCATCTTTGTAACAGCCGTTGACATTTTTCTACCCTCTTTATTTTCAATCCTCTTCTTTTTCTTTTCCTTTAGGTTTAGCACCACCATACGTATATTGGCGTCGGACCACCATCACACTGCGCACAAATTTACACACACCGTCAACTTAGAGTTTCCCTTTTCACTCACGCTTATGGCAGGTTTCATCCCCTTCCTTGCTCTTCTTTACAAAAGCTTCACCATTTCTTCGATAACCATCCCAGTTTTTTTGGCCCTAGCTAGCTAGCCCTCTCAAAAGAAAAAGTGTGACCAAGTAAAAGAATTTCTTGGAATTTGAATTTAGTGCATTTGGCAATTCCTCTGCCCAGCATTATTTCCCCATTACGTTGAACCATGTATAGCTTCTTTGGGATTTTGCAGTCATAAACTTTAATGGAATTAGGCAGAAGATTTCACTTACCGTAAGTCATGCATGTGTTTGTATTCTATAAACCTTGATAACCTCCCCATCAAGGAAACCCTTTCTTTGACTTGTCATTTTAGGGTTGTTACCTTGGTTGCGTTAATCATAATGCGAAGCTTTTTCATTACTAAACTATAGTTCAAGGGACCCACGTGATCATCAATGTAATCACTTTGTGGTCTCACAGGCGACTCACGGACTAGGATTTGGAGAGTTGATGAGCTGTTTCGGTCTGAAACATTTAGAAAAAGGTGTTTAGGTAAGAATGTGAGGCATATGAATGATTAATGGATGACCAACTTGAGGCTTGTGGAGCCAAGTCGTGCCTAGATGCAAACAAAAAAGCTACGGATTTGAATCCTTGTGACATTTAGCTAAGCTCGCTAAATCCAAAATTGCGTCACTTCTTGCTTCAGAGTCCACATCTTTCGCTGTCCAAAATTATACCAATAATAATTTTCCAAACCACAAGCTCCTTCATATGGAATGGAGATATAATCTACTTTCTGTTAGCTTCGATAAGAATGATCTGAATTACTGTTTTTTAAATCAAATAATTTATGTGCTTTTATGCATATTAAATAATGCAATAATTATATTAAAAAATGAACGATTTTTACTGCGCATATATTTTTGAAAAACCCTTGGTAGCAATTGTATATTAAGCTTCTATTTAAGCTTAATTCTTATTTTAATACTCCCTCCAATTCTAAATATAAAAGCTCCTTATTAAATAATTTGGATTCAAGAAAGTCAAATAAATTAGTTAATTATAATAAAGATATAGCATTAGATGATATTACCTCGGGTCTCAAATATAAGAACAAGTTAGAGATTTAATTTTATCCCAAATATAATATCACAATCTATTTTATCTTTCATATTTATCTATTTTGTCATCAAATAATCTCTATATGTAGTAATAGTAAGAATTGTTTTAATACATATGATTAATAAGAACATTTTAAAAATAATAATACCTATTTATTACAAATAATCAACTTAACTAATTTTTTTAAGATTAAGGTGCATCTAGTACCCTGAAGTATTTTCTTAGTTGCGTCCAGCATCCTAAAGTATTTTTTGGTGCATCCAGCACCTTGAAGTATTTTTTCATGTGCGTCCAGCATCGTAAAGTATTTTGTAATGCATCCAGCATTTCAAAGTATTTTTTTTAGGTGTGTCTAGCACCTAAAAATATTTTTTTGTGTGTCCAGCACCAAGGCAAAAAAAAATACTTCAAGGTACTGGGTACCCCTAAAAAATACTTTGAGGTGCTGGATGCATCAAAAAATATTTTACCGTGTTGGCTGTACCTGAGAAAATGCTTCAGGATGCTGAATGCACCTTAATTTATTTTTTTAACATTCACAAATTAATTATTTAGCTTTTATATTAAGAACCGGAGTTTATATATCATTTATAAGTTATAAATTAGTTTTAAGAAAATAAATATAAAAGACAAAATATATTCAAGTCGTATATTTAAAATCAAATCTAACCCCTCAAGGCCCCATCTAGCCTTTATATCAGGTATAGAGGATTTACTAAGAAATGGTGGAATCAATATGGAGTTAATTAAGGGAACTTGTATAAATTAAAAAGTTTAATTGTGCGGCATAACCAAAGTCCAAAAGGCATGTGTTTGTATGTGTGCACAAAACTCACTGTAACATGTCTCCACCGACACGTGATCACCTGAACTCATCTCTTCCGTTCGTACTTGCTCCATTCTCTATCACACACAGACTTTATCTTAATCCAGAATGAGATATCCCATTCAAAATCTACGATTGAAATCACGTTCACGAATGTGAAACTTTGAAGGGATCGATGTAAAATGAAAATGGTTTTCTAATTATGCCACACAAAGCAGATATGGAAAAAGACATACGTGCAGGACACTACCCGTGACGGGGACGCCATCAATAAAATATCGCCATACACTTGTAAATTAGTAATTTATGTACAATTGTCTCTATGCTACATTGATAATTAGGTAATGATAAGAGACCAAATTTCTATGTCTCTCATCTTTTAAAAAATCATTGAGAAAAACGTGGACAACAAATGCCCCTCAAATGTCCTCTTATGGGACTAATTAGCCTAATCGACATATTGGTAATTAATCAATTAACACGGCATGTGAAGAACGTACGTCAATAACGTCATCATATCAAGAGCTGAAAAGACAACAGGGTATAATGTATGCCAATCTTAGTTTAAATTGTCTGTAATGAATATTTTTGTTTATTTCGAGCGTATAGAATAATTAAGAAAGGTTGGACATATTAACATTAGACTTGTCTTGGGTTTAAAATTTTTCGAGATCAATGTCGCGTACGTAAATTGAACTAGTAGCTTATTGACTAATCTAATTATTGTATTGTGTGCGTGACATTGTTGCATGCACTATGACAATTTTATTTATTCATTTTATTGTGTGATCAATGAAATTCATGAGGGAGCTAGATCAATGCGTATATATTATTTTAATTTTCTAATAATTAATGTATGGCTCTTTTCTTTTATGGATGATTCTTTTTGTTGGGACATTTTTTTTTTGGTTTTGATAGCACAGGGCAATTAAATTACTAATCACTTCACATCGTGATATGAACTCAGTCGTTCATGCTACTATATATTAACCTAAGTGGGGGTAAGACATAAAGAAATAATAAGACAAACGTGATTTAGCCAGATATATTGTCTTTATCAATTCCATGCTGTCTTTAAATACATTATAACAAATGGATCGATATAATTAGCTTAGTAGGAGGGGTTTAAATTTGTAGCCATCGTCTAAGCTGTGCGGAGAAAAGTGCAGTTTTACGATAATTAAATACAAATTTAGTCGGTAATGATTACAAGGAAATGGAACCGTGAATAACTAATTGCCTATATATCTATAACTACGGAATAAGGGGGAAAAGCAAATTCTGCTTTGAAATTCACTAGGGAAACCTATCTAGTTAAGCACATAAATGATCACTTTCCTTTAGTCTAAACAAACCCTAATTTGGTGCATGCATATATGTGTGTGTGTGTGTGTGTGTGTGTATATATATATAAATGACGATATGAGGTCATTAATTAAATGATTTTTCATGATGGAAAATTGCAAATTTAATAAGCGGATTCCTTGAGATTTCACTCAGCTTGTTGACAGGAATTGTGAAATAATGGAGGTGAAAAAATAGGAGATAAAACAAATATGATTTACAAGCCAAAAGAGAAAAGCTGTCGGAGATAGAGACAGGACATGGGTAGTGATAGTAACAAAAGGATTAATGATTACAAATTTGCATGTGACATTTTCTCTGTTGCCTTACTGACGAGGGAAAGCCACCATTATGTCTCTCTGTTCGCAACTCCACCACACACATATGCACACACCCTCCTCGTCTAATTTCCCTAAACACTGATATATATATATATATATATATATATAGTTCTGGCAACGAAATAAAATTACTGAACTTGCTAGTTCTATATATATATATTTGAAGATTGATGGAAAAAAGAGAGAGAGATTAAAGCGTCTAAATATTCAGGTTGCGAAGATCTGAAATATAACAGTATTGGAGGTCTAGAAAAAGAAAAGGGAAAACCAAAAGAGAAAAATCAAACCTTGACTTGCACGTTCGTGAACAATAAAACCCTAATTATACTGTTAGGCGTTTGTTACAAGTTCCCCAATAAAAAAGATGGTAAGTGAAGACTTTTCTTTCTTTCTTTCTTTTTTTGCCGAACTCGATTTACTTTATAATATGTGATTATTTTCTTTTTTGAAAACCTTCTCCACATACCATCTTTTCATTGGCGGACAACTTGATATCAAACGTCTGAAAATGCTTCTGACTCTCATCCAAGCATACATAAATTATAGTAGAAAAATCTTCTTGCCCATTTTACCCTTGCCTTTTGGAAGTATTCTTTCATTGGGCTTAATAATTGCTCCACGTCTCGGGGGCATTGGAAGTCCCAACGAATCCAAAACCCTGTCGGGACCTGAAGAGCGAGTGGTGATGGTGGTGTTCGTATACATCCCCCGTGAACGTCATGACATTCTTCAGGTTGACAGCACCGGCGTTCTCACCGTCGCCTCCGTTGTTGCCATCGTCGGTGAGACCCAGGAAGTCCCTCGTCAGATGCTCATTCTTAAGATTCCGAGTCGCGAACCCTCTGATATAGCCAGGCACCACCGATTCGAGCTGATCCACTGATCCAAACTGGCTCATGCTAAGCGGAGTCAGGTGATGAGCTTGCGACTGAGATGGTTGGGGCGTCATTGGGGTGGCCCCGACGGTGGCAGCCTTTTGGAGGAGAGCGGTGGCAGAAAGGTGGGCTGACGTGGCAGCGTTTGAGGAAGATTGCATGGGCATTTGTGGGTTCCTAAAGGTTGTGTTTATCAGAGCGCTCTTGTGGTGAGGATGAGGAGGTTCCTGAAGAAACGAAGGAGGCATCTGGAAATGTTGAGCTTCGGGCTTGACCTGGATAACGTTGCTAGGGTTAGGGTTTTCTTGAGACGGGTTCCATGGATTATTGAGGAAGCTGTGTTGGTTGGGATACAGCAAGAGAGATTGGACCAGTGGGTTCGTGGCGGAGGAAGCTAGTTGATTTACTGAGAGTCTCGCACTTTCTTCTGCCAATGCATCACAGAATGCTCTATGAGTTATGAAGCTGTCCTTCCTGAATGCAAGAAGAAAATATTGAAGCAATTAATGCACATGAATTAATAATTACCTACGACGTCCATCTTCCACGAGCACATTAATTTTCAGGAAATTAAGAGGACTTCTACGAAAACTATATATATAGTAGTATGCACATATTTACATATATATATATATATATATATATAGGTGTTCAACTTCTCAAATGATGAAATGAGACAATTATATATCTTTTATTTATTGATCTTAGCAAATGCGAGGTGAAATAATGCATGCATATTTGTGAACTTGCATTAGCATATACGTAGTGTCTTCGTAGAGCGTGTCCCGTTTTCCCAAAAAGGGGAGGGAAATCATGCACGGGGGAGAGAGTTCAGCTGCACATGCAAGAGATATAATTGATATGGTTGCAGAGGGTCAAATTGAAAGTAGGAGAGAGAAAGAGAGATGAATGACGAGACATGGATGAGCTTGAGCTTTATGCATGCAAAAAGTCACTATACGATAGTATTGGCTCAAAATGTTGCCAAGTTATTGGTAAACTGTTATGATGACCAAGTTTTTCTTTGAAACTAGAGCGCATGAATGAAATGAAACAAAAGATGAGCAACTGAAATCAATCAATGCCCCGTATATATATAATGCATATCTGAAGCAAAAAGAAAGCAACTTGGCAGATCAGATATTTTTGCAGATTTCGCAGATTTTACAATGATGAAGGCTCAGACCAGCAATATGCACAGAACTTGAGAAGAAGGGGGAAAAAAAAGAAGGGAGAGATAAGTCATCACAAATTTCTCAAGTATCATACTCCATCCGCTTTTCAGAAGACAAAAATAACTCGCCATCATATTTTTTGAGAATGCAGCCACCCCATACACAGCCATATATAAGTACACTAGGAGAGAGAATATTGAAGTCTAAAAGATAATTGAGCACTGTCTGACAGACTGGAAATTTTGGTGTAACCTAGCTAAAACCCTATAACTCGTCAATTATATATAATTGGACATGTACATCATGCATGCAAAACTATTTACATGTCATGGGTTATATATGGTTAGATGTGCATGGATGTGGATGCACATGCATCCAATAATATAGTAAGAACTAATGAATAATAAAAAATTACACAAAATTGCTATAGCGCGAGTCACAGACAATACAGTACATAAAACAAAAAGATACGTGAATTGTGCTTTTTTGAAGTTGCCGCACATATTCATTTGGCAGTTTTAGAAATCAGCAACTGTTAAATTTTATCAGTATTCCTTACAATATAACCAGTAACAGACACTTGTATTATCCGTGTCCACTTGCATGCAGCCTGCCCATTGCATTTAATCCCCAGAATGTGTGTCTGCGGAGACACATATCCTACCATTCTAGTGCAACTAATAATCCACTGAAAAACAAAATTAAGACTAAGACTGTTTTCCTGGTTCCATAGGCTACCCTCTTCACAGAATTACACCTGACTCTCAGTGAAGTCAAAAGTAGGCGTATATATTAATTCAAAAACCAAGGAGCTCGGAAAATGTTACCACGAAAATATATAATATGTCAGAGATCAGGAAAATAGAAGTCGTGAAAAGAATGAAGTGATACCTGGAGAAGAGAGTTCCACAATCACATCTGTATTCTCTAGTTCCACAGGTCTTAGAGTGCGCTTTCCAATCTGACTGAACCGCATAGATCTTTGAGCATTTCTCGCATTTCCACTTCTTCTCTCCATGTTTTCTGCAGTAGTGTTTCTTGATTCCAGTGAGGTCCCCCAGAGCCCTCGAGGGGTTGTGATGAACGCATGAAGGCTCGGGGCAAACGTAGGCTCTCTTTTTCACCTCTTTGTTGTTCCTTTGCTTCAGCTTCCATGGCAGGTTATGGCCTCTCCTATGGAGTTGAAGATTCTGGTCTCTTTGGAAACCCTTGTTGCAGATCTCACACACAAACCTATTGGTGGCCAAAAGAGTCTTCGGGGATAACGCTATCACTTCTGCATCTGGGTCTGAAATGAAATACCACGTCCGGTCAAAAGCTACAAGACGAGGTTATTAGAAAACCTAACCACTGAGCAATCTTTGTCAAATCAGTAGAATCATGTAGTCTTCTCCAGAATATAGGGATTATTGGAATTCGAATTCTAGTTGGAGCTAAACTTAACAACAAAAAAACCAAAGACAGAAAACCTGCACACATAACATGTGCTGATAAAGAGAACAGACACTGATTTGAAGAAACAGAAGGAGCTTAATTAATGAAATAACCTGGGTTTCCGGGGAGGCTTCTCTTTTTCTTGATCTTTGGAGGCTGCTGAGGAGGAATTGTGGGGAGGACCGGGTTTACTCCAGAGAGGTCATGAAGTCTAGTAGCAGAAGAGACAGAGGATTCTACGGACAAAGAAGTAGTAGAATTGGACATCGCCGCAGGAAACATTTTGCCTTTGGAGAAAACTCCAACAGGGAAAAACAAGAGGAAGAAAAAGTGAGATACGATATTCTAATATGTCTTTGTTTGTTTGAACTTTGAAATCCTATATCATCCTACCCGGTTTCTCGCAACTTTGGGAAGGGACTGATTAAGAAGAAGGCGGGCCCAGAAAAGTGCAAAAACCTCGCTTTAATTCAGGACAGAACTAAATTAAACTGAAGAGTTTTGTTGTGAGGAGGTGTGGGAGGGAGAGAGAAAGGGATGATTCAGTTGGTGGGAAAAAAGCAGAATTAATCTCGTGAAGAGATGATGACGATGACGATGGATTATTCTCCAAGTCGCTATCTAGGCCATGGATTGCTTGTCTGAGCAACTCTGCACAACTATTTCAGACATATCTCTTTCCAGTCTCTCTCTGTGCGTGTGCCTATATTTGTAAAGATGCAATCAAACTGGCAAAATCAGGTTTTAAGAAGATTTTTTCCTTCAGCACGATCCTACTACCCAATAACTCTCCCTACTTTTTATCTATTTTGGCGTCGACATATGTGGCAAAAGATAAAGGAGAGAATCACACATATATAAACAGATCAATACTAGCTAGTAGCTACCAGGTTATTGTAAAATAATACTAGCCAGTAGCCACCAGGAGAGGAGAGAAGGTGATGATGACAATGGTAGGCTAATGGAGAAATTAAACACGTACGTAGAAAATAATAAAATAAAAAATTCTTGGGTGGTAATAAAAAAGTTCAAGGTGACTAAGGAAACGAATAAAAAGTCTGGAGAAAGAATGAGATATAGAGAATAAGAACGGCTGGGAAAAGACTAGGAAATATCCCTTACCCCAAAAAAAAAAAAACACAAGACTCAGTAAAAATTCCCTTTCATGCCTTGATTTCTTTGTTTGTTTAAGGGTTCTTTTCTGCTATGGCGAGCTGGGTCTAAATATGTTGGCGCTTTCAGTCTATTCTTCTGTTCCTGTAACAAAACACCCAGACCCAAACGGAGCTTGATACGAATGGCTTGAATTTTTCTTGGCCAATAAGAAGAATGACATGATTTTTTGAAATAAAAAAAGAGGAGTTTGATTATTGGAGAATGAGGAGTTTTCTTATTATTTTTTTCGGAGAACAATTTTTAAAAGATGAAGGAGGCTAGAAAAGGCAAGTGAGAGTAAAGGCAAATTTCAAGGGATATCCCCACAACTAACATGATTGATTCACTGATTGACTTGAGGCATATATATATAATAACCTAGTCACTACGTACCTTGGTTTTGCCTAGATTGTAATTAAACCCATTGGTCTCTTAGCTTCATAATTTCACTTGCGCGAATTAGTGAATACTAGTTGGTTTATCATACCCTAACACTATGTTGTTGATTATTCTTCGTTATAATTTCTTAATTAATGAAGTTGTGAAAATATTTCTATATATATATATATAGTACAAATAGACACTGATATACGATATGAATTGATCTCCTGCCAATTATGCACATATATTTTCCATACAGTTATTATGTTCCTCGTGGAATTCAGTATCATATACTTGTTTCTCATTACAATCTTGCAGATTTTCTTCCCTTGTGTGTGTGTGTGTGTCCCTCTTATTTTTTGGTATCATCATTCTCTTACGTCCTAGTGTGCAGTGAAAGTGCTCAAGCAAAACCCCACCGAAGAGAATTGGCATGGTTACTTTTCCCGCCCTCTTTATCTCGCTCTCTTTATTCTAAATCCAACTCTAAAGCTATGAAAGGGTAGCTTGCATTGTCCATTCTATCCACTACGTGTACGAACAATCCAGCAAGGATTTGCTTGTAGCTTTCCTTGGGCTTGGAGGTCAAAAATGTCTTCATAAACTTACTTTAAGCTTGGGTCCATGCGTGAGATAGTATGAATTAGCAGAAGCATGCAAGCAATTCCAAATAGCTTTCGCATTTACATAGGACCCATCATAATTTAGATCTTTTTGCGAATTTCGAATCTGCACATAGACAAACATTCGAGGAGTTAATTTGTGGGTATGTATAGATAAATGATTCTGAGCACAAGTTCTAGCTGTAATATATAAATATATATATAGAGAGAGAACGTAACCTGCATATAAAAGGCACGCTATGATCTGAAAATAATTAAAGACTCAAAAGTAGTGTTGGGAGAATGATGTAACTGAGGAAGGGAGATCAGAATTTGACCTGTAAAATCAACTTTTGGAAGTTGTTCTCTTGGGGGTTACATTGTTTCCAAAAATCCTGCGGGAAATTGATTAAGCATCGCGTGGAAAGTTAGTTTTATGGGGAAACCTTAATTAGTACGCCTCTGAAGATTATGATGGGGATGGTCTGTTGACTAATGAACTCGAAAGATGTCCTTTCCAGATACGGGGGCCTAACTCTTAATAATTTTGTGTAGAAAATTCTGCATTTTTTGAGTCAGAGGAAAGTCTCATGCTTTTTTTTTTTTTTTTATTTGTTTGTTTTTACTTTGAAGGCGGAACAGATATATAAATATTGTTTCCATATTAAGCGATGAAAGGCACAAATATGAGGGTTATGATAAGAAGCTCATGATAGTGTTTCTGTGCTCTTCTTTGGGTTTTCTAATTTCCATATATATACTACTACACTGTGTTCTGAATTTGCATGAGAGAGAGAGAGAGCTGGGGAAGAGGGGGGGAGAGAGAGCTAGGGAAGGGGGGAGAGAGAGAGGGAAGGGCATATTAATGAGTGGAAAGGAATACGCCATCCAGATGCGGGCCACACTTAATTCACGGGTTCTTCTATTACCAGATTCTCCCATCAACACCGGACTGCAAAATTTATATATATATATATATATATTTATATATAGCTCTCTCAAGTGCCTACCATATATTTACCAATTATGGGTTAAATTAATGCGACCATAATTTCAACTTAATTATTATTTATTGTTTCCCCATCTATTCTATTACAACGAGCTGCGATATATCCATATATATGATAACCCTTATATATATGTATATTAATTAAACGCCTGTGTTATTAGTAATAATTCAGGCACGTTATCATTTATACACATATATGTGTGTCAGTTTCAATTCATATCAGATCACTTTTGTTATATATGTTTATAAAAAAAATTGTATATATAGTATTTTTAGATCTCTTTTTAAATCATTTACTTATTTCCCAAATAAATTCTGCAGGAATTTACCATCAGTTAGGGTGTGTTTGGTATGAGAGATTTGGAAGGGAGGGGAGGGAAGGGAAAGAATTTTAATCATTTTTTCTTGTTTGGCAGCACACAAATTTTAGGAGGAGAGGGAAAATTTTAAAAAAATTTCCCTCCCCTTCCCTCCAAAATTGGGAGGATTTAGAGGAAAAGGATAATATTTTGTCATGTTATGACCATTATACCCATATCTTAAATAAAATAAGGGCAAAATTATCTATGTAAAAATATTTTTCCCTCCCCTCCCGTCATGAACCAAATAAGATAATATTTAAACTCCTTCCTTCCCCTCCTTTTTTATAAATTTAAATAAGGTAATATTAAAATCTTTCCACTCTTCTCCCCTTCTCTTCCCTCCATTAAAATCCCTTCCGTCCCCTTTTTCTCATTGAACTAAACAGACCTCTTAAAGGAAATGGCTGACACTACTCAGAAGAAAATATTGGAAGAATAATCTGGCACTTGTTAGGAAATAAATCTTAGAACCCTTATTATTTCGTTTTACAACTTGGACATCAAATTGAAGTGGCAAATGACGAAAATATATAAATAATTTAGTGTTTACCGCATTAATAATGCAATACTGACACTCTTTTTCCTTCAAATAGAAAAACCATATAGCTAAAATTTTGGCTGTTTTAAAGGTGTAACCAAAATACTGAATTTTTACGGTTTGACGAATATCAGTATAAAATATGAATGCGCCACATCCTCCAAAGAACTAATATGGTCTGAGATACTGTTTCCAGATGCAATTTTAAATAATAAAAAAAATTGTATCTTTAAAATATATGTACAGAGAGCAACGTGTAGTGGTTGGTGGATTGAGACTTGAAAGTGAGGAAGAGCCAATGAATGAAAGAGACGATAAAGACGTGGATGAAAATAAGTCGAATAGAGTGGGCAAGTTGGTACCATTATAGCATTAGGTCCAATATTCCCAAAAAGGCCCAAATGGTATCATAGAGAGAAAGAAACAGTCTCCTCCAAAAGACCCTCATTGCTTCACTTTGCCATATGCACAGACTAGTAGGTAGAACATTACGGGTAGCTTGAGCCCACTGTCTTCCCCGATCTTCCTCCTCGGAGTCCTCTTTTGACCACGATTGAGTTTGCGCATACTAGTATTACAAAATTCATGAAGGGGGAAAAAATGAACTTTGAACATTTATGACTTATTTTATGTTTTATATTGATTGATATTGATAATATGTCAACATTTTCCCGTACTGTATTGACTATTGAGTCGGCTTAGTTTGGCTGCTTCAACTTGAATCAACGCCCACATTGTTACCTACTTTCCTTGCCCCTTCATGTCTGCGTGGCATGACAATCTTGACAGTATCAATTCAAACTTCAAGGAATTGTGCTTTACGAGCAGGCCACTTACTATTCCCTGCATTGAATCTTTCTCACCAAAAATATCAACTAGGTTGTTAGTTTTGTTCTTTTAATTTATTTGTAGGATTTCAACTCATCATTCCTAATTGGTCTGAAAGTTTTGGATGAGTCAATCGAATTTGATTTTATCACATTTTTCCCTTTTCTGATTAAGCCTGAAATAACAATGTTTTGAGTTAAAAAAAAAAGAATAATATTTGTATAAGGATTTTTTTTATTTATTATAAATTAATGTCCTTTTTATATAAATGCTGAGCCACAAAGACAAGGAAGTCAGGCCACCAGTGGATAATTAAACATGTCTTATTTCTCGAGGTTAGCGTTTTTGAGTGGTTTTGACTGGGGAAGAGTCAAGTGCCGCCTCCCATAATTCTACACGTAGCCGCCTTATGTCGAATTAATGCTGGAGTTACTGGATTCAATTTTAGTACGCAATCCTCAGAAATTCAGGTACATATCAATATCCATATCAACTGTGACTTCCCAAGAATCCCAGGTTTTGCTGCCTGATAGACTTTTTTGGCTGTAGGGCTCAGCCGTGACAACGTAACTGGGATGTCGATTCCAACAAATATCACATCTTTGTGGACCACAATTTTAGACTTCTAATATTACCACCACTTGACCATCCCATATGCTTCGAAACCGTTCCTCTGCACTGTGTGTCTACTGTGCAACAAGTCCAACACAGGATCATGGAACATGTCTGCACATATATCAGCAACTTCCATGAATCATATCTTTCATTTGGGATTGGGTCTATATGAGATTGTTCCTACTACTTCACATAGGGCCATGCAATTTTAGGATCACCATTAATGTCCCGCCAAAAAAAAAATCTGCATCAAGGGGTTGTCATTTTCCTTGTGCAACCATTAAAAAAAAAAAGGGGGCTTCGACTTGAAAAACGGCACTTCAATGGTTCTGTTGTGCTCTGGAGGGAGACACGTTTCGTTGCAAGAGGCCATAATTAATGAATGGAATAATAGTTCATGACATGAGAACATGGAGATGCCTACATGATACTGATGTAACATAGGATTTTGTCCACTGTGGGATTCATTTATTTCTGACCAATGACTACCAGCAAAGACGAACATAAAAAGCAAGGGGAGGAGGGGGGGGGGAATCAAACAGCAAAAGCAAACCACGATTCAGTCTCTGCTTCAAAAGCAATACTCAGTAACTTATGGTTCCTGCAGTTGCTTCAGCCATTTCTTGTCCGTTCCCCGGCTTCTGATAATCTGCATTCATTGAAGTCAAAAACTTAGAATCTTAAAATAGGCTAGCACGATAACATGGAAATGTTGCACACATAGGGGTTGAAAAACTGAACCTTAAGACCAAATAATGACCGCTAACGCTACCGCAGGTTTTTGTCGAAGCAGCGGCTTCAAGCTACCTAATTAACATTGAGAAAAGAATGAGAAACTGAGGGTTTTACAAAATGGTACAAAAAGGACATGAATTGGGTTAGATACCCCAAAACTAAAAGATTTCCACAGGCACAGTGCTCCATAGTTTCAGTCTCAGAAGTCTTGACGTTCACTTAGGACCTGAACCCATGTAGCCTAAGCGCTTGACCAAGACGTCGATATCTACATCTTCATCTTCACCTTCATCGCTTGGAATGTATAGTTCACCCTCAACATTTTCACTGAAAAACTCTTCCCAGAATCCTTCATCAAGTTCGTTGTCCAGCCTCTCTGGCGATCCAAGTGCTTCCGGTTCTTTCTTACCCCTACCAAGACCTTGCATTTCCATAGCTAGAACCTCAAGCTCGGACACTTCAACTTTAACAGGTTTCCTTCCCTCACTTTCACTGCTTGATTCAGCAATATAAATTGGTGCTTGCTCAACTGATCTTCTTTTCTTAGTCATGGCTTCTTCCAGCTCCTTTCTATTACTCTGCTGAAGTAGTTGGTGGAGAAAAGTTGGATTTTTCAATGCTCTAGCTAAGAAGACCATCATTTGTTGCTGCTTCATTTCTATGCCTCGTAACCTCTGCTCCATTGCCTGAAGGTAGGCTCCGGTTTTCTGCTGCTGCCGCCTAAGCTTCCCAAGCTCCATCATTAACACTTGCTTGTCACGCCTTAAACGCAGAACTTCTTCATCTACTCCAAACCTACCAACTTCAACGCAATGACCTGGTTCTTGGGAGGATGAAGTAACCTGAGAAGGTGCTCTCCTTCTTCGTATGTTCCTAAGTAGATGCTTGTGCCCTCTGATGAAGTCTTCGTTTGAAAACTCCCATCTTTCTGGATCAATTTTTCTAAAACCCTGTCAAATTAGAATGATAGTAACCCTAGCTAAATATCAAGTAAGTACGAGCAGACGATGAAGAAGAAGAAGCGGTGAAGAGAATACTTACGTAAGTGTTCAATTGCCTGACAAAGCTTGAGAAATTATTGTGCTTGAAGTATCTAGGAAGGAGATTGGTAGAGAAAGAGCATGGATCCCAAACAACAAAACTTGTTCCTCCTCTGCTCCACGAGACCATGTGATCGGTTGAAGGGTCGTCCACCATTTCAAACGTCTTGGTGAGGAATGGAGGTGGTCCTGTTTCATGAAGTCCCCGCATTGGCTGTGGAGGTAGAACCATTGCTAGCTCATCTCCTAATTCAGATGAAGATGGTTCCAAGTACTCCTCTTTTATTGTGTACAGATAATCCATCCCTGAATTCCTTGGTAACTTCAAAAAACTTGATGGGTTCTATGATTCTGATGAGTTTGGCTGACTCTGTTCTATACCCAGATACAGAGTATGCTAATCCAGATGGATATGGCCCTATTAAAAGGCTCGCAGAAAAGCAGTTAACATAGTTCAATAACTGAAGCGAGAGAATGAAAGGGGTTGAAGAGACTTACGTGGACTTGTCAGTAAACTCAAATTTATAGACAGGGGAACCAAAAAAATGGAGGTATTAGTTAATCCAGAAAAATTCAAACGAGACGCAACCACTCGGTATATGGGATGATGTGAATATTACACTGGTGATGGGAACGCGGAGGATGAAGTGTTCCTCCGCGGAAACTCGTTTAGGCCGTTAAGAGAAGTTGGTTAGTCGTCATTCCCATGTATAAATAAGTTTAAAGAGCAGATTTTGAGGTGATTAAATAGAAGAAGAGAATGGTGTGACGTAACTGGGAAGGGAATAAATTATTAGAAAGTTCTAGACTCATTTAATACAAATCCCTCCCTCTAATGGCATTTAGCAAGTGGACGAATCATGAGATTGAGGGAGAGCGGAGCTGAGTGGTCCTTCAGCTCGGAAGGTTCTGGAAATTAAAGGGAGAAGCCAAGGGGGAATGGTGATCACAGTGGGAGGAAGACTGCGCGTGGGGTTCCCACGCGCGTTGGAACTCCGAATTGCTTCGCTTTAATAACGGTAATCTAAAGCTACTTTTGCCATAATAGGGTGCATATACAAGTGATAAAATAATCCTATTCTATGAATTAGTTAAAGAGTTTACTTTCATTTTCAATGTGATTAACATTTCAATTTCACTTTATTTTTCATATTTATATTTTTTTTAAAATTGAAATTTTTCTATCAGTTCTATAGAGTAAATGTAAAATAATTGTTAATACAAGTTAACATTTTTCATGAATAATTAATTTAAATATTTTTTTAAATTTTATAAATTAGTTATTCGGCGGTTACACTTAGAAATGTAATAGCTATATAACATGTAATGGTCAAATGGCTTAAATTTATCTGAGGTGGAAGAAAGACCGGAATTCTTTCTCGGTGGGTGTTGGCGGGTAGGGGGAAGGCCAGTGGCGGGAAGCAAAGTGGAAGAAATACAACGCTTAGGATTTCCGTACATTCACTGATCTAAGGTTAGCTCATCTTTGTCGGATTTTTTTGTTTAGAAAAAGAAAGGCACTTGGGGATTGCACGAGTGATAAAATAATCCCATTCTAGGGACATTCATAACATGCTCCTGTCAGGTTTAGTGTGCATTTAGATTTAGATTTAGATTTAGATTATATTTACATTGAAAAACACTAAAAATTGTAAAATTGAAGGTATAAGTAATTATTTACTCTCATCGAATAGGGATATTCATAGGATGAGACGGGATAAGAATGACCCTATCCCAATCTCGTCCTAATAATCGGGATGGGATGGCTTTTTCTTCCTATGTCCCGTTTTGTCCCAATAGCATCTTGTCCCAATTGGAACAAGACATAGTTGGGATGAGACAGAGACGTTCCATTTTTTTTTTTGAATTTTATTTTATTTTTAATTTGAAAAATAATTATACGTGAAATGTAAGAATTTATGATAAAAACTATGTGAAGAAAATAGATAAAAATAAGGAAATAATGGCAAAGAAAAATAATTTTTATAATCTTGAGAGACAAAAAATAAACAAACATAAAATGTTCACTGCAAAGAATATCATGTATCAAATGCAAAAATAATTTATAAACAAATAAAAAATAACAATTGATAAATATCATTATCAAAATACTATTACAATGGTAAATAAAATAAATTTATAACAACTAAAAATAAAGATAAGATATTGGGACGGGACATCTCTGTTTCGCGTCCCATCTTATTCCGAAACAATTTTGTCCAATCCCAAAATGACTGGGACAGGGACGGGACGTCGGGATTGGAAACAGTTGAACATTTCTACCATCAAAGTCATGATATTTCATAATAAAAAATTAATTTTTATTTCTAACTGATTAATTTGAGTAAATTAAAAAAATTTATTAAGTTAAGTATAGGTATTAAATATGCATTATCTGTTATAAAATATTTTTATCAATCACGAGTATTAACTAAAATTATTATTTGATGAAATATTTAATATGTGTAAATATTATAAGCACTATTTAAAAAAATAAATAAATTTAAAAATAAAATATATCCTGAAGAGGGATAATATACCATGACAACGTAACAAGTGCAAAGGTCAGGTCATTTGCAAAAGGTATTGCGTGGAGAAATGAAGAGGGAAGTAGCGTTGACACGTCTTCCTCCACGAGACTCGTGTTGCCGAAGCATAATTTCGACACGTATCACCGGAGATATTAATATAATATTACTGCTTCTCGACTCTAAGGATGATGCTATTATGATATCATTGGATATTATTTGAAAAGTGTCACTTCGAGCTCGCAAATTGGCATGGGGTTAATGTACTGCTTAATTTATGCTGAACAAAGGTGAGGGAATCCTAATGACACGTAACGAGAACCAAACTTATTTATTTAGTGTGGGGAATGTCCTCATGAAACTTCTACAACGTTCCGGAAGTTACTGGATTTCTATGAATTCAATTCCATCGTACATCTCTGTTTTTTTTTTAATAATTATTCTGTACACAAATCATTGGTGGCTCTGCTTAATTTAAATATTCATTTTCCTTCGGTTTTCTTAAAGGACGATAAAATCCATTTCGTTTTCCCATTGAAAAGTTGACAGGGATCCTCTGTTCAAGCCTAGTCATGCGTCTATCCTTCACTCCAAGCGGGTCAAATATTCAGAGATTAACAAAGTGGAGTTTGGTGTGTCCAAAAGCTTAATTAATCTGTCATCGTCCTAAGTAGATATTTTTGAGTTTATCTGTATAATTTAATGAGGAGGGATTTGGTGTTGGGTTACATGGGGTGTGACATCACTTTTAGGTAAAAGCTTCCATGAATGCGTGTACTAATCTGGGTTGGACCGAATCAAATGAAATCTTATCATCTTGATATTGGAAGTTAGGCTGGAAAATAATAGAAACTCCATTCCACCAAAACCCAAAAAAAAAGAAGAGAGAATTATAACCAGGTCTCAGAAAATGGATTTAATTATCCGAAAGTCGATCGACAAATTCAAAATAGAGACTGATAACATGGTCAATTGGTTACTTGTTATTGAAATTTTTTAATAATTAAAATTTTTTTAAAGACTTCTTGATAATTCTTCCCAAAGACAAACAGAGTCTCACGTCCCTGTATGAGTGTCCCCTCCTCTTCCCCCCCTCCTGAACTGGGCCATTTGTAGCATTATATTCTGCCACGTTACATTTTGTTCTTAACGTGCTTCTTGTATGTGCGGAAATCAGAATATAACAAGCTATTTGTGCCTGAATTATAAGAAAGTTAAATTTTAAAAAATACATTTATTAGGAGGGATTTGATTTTAATATTTTCAACCGACAAAAATTAGTCTTTAAGTCAAAAATAATTTGATGATACTCTGAATTATAAGAAAAATTAAAATATAAACTGAAATCATATGTGAGAGCGACGCGACAGAGGAAAGAGAGGTTACTCCTAATTTTCATTCAAATTCATTATCGTTTGCTGATGAAACTTAATCGATCAATTTCAGTATATAAAAAAATGATAATCATGGCAGTGGAAAGAGCAGGAGATGATCTCCCACAATATGCCAAGACCATCCATCTTTAATTTTTCTTGAAAAATAGAAGAATAAATATGAAGGGAAAAAAAGTTAAATACCTAAGAATAAATTGAATGCAGCAAAATCCTTGTTCAAATTTCTAAAATTTAGTCTTTTATATTGATGTTTGCAGTAGCTCCTCAAATGTCTGTCCGTTTTTTCCGATCCTGGAGCGCGATTGCATCAGGAATATTGGTTCAAAGACCAATTGAAGGCCTCGAAATGTTTATTACATATCATAGATTCAGATTGATATGAAATATCAGAGGTTAAAACTCTCCAAAAATTGAGTTGTTGATTAGATCACGATGGGAGGTCTTTACACGGTAAAGAAAAATCATTGTTTCAAAAGGCAGTGCATGGCTGTTGATGGAAAAAAGTGGTTTGTAATACGAGTTTCAGAGAATAAGCTTCTCAGATTCTCTATTACTGGACTGGGGAACCTTGCCGAAGATGGCTCTGACAAGATCAGCATAGAGGGGGAATTGGGCGACGGCGTAGAAAGCAATAGGCAAGACGGTGGCGGCGTAGAGCGGGAAAACAACCTCCTTCAGGTTGTCCTTGAGCACAAAGAAGAATGCGGCGGAGAAGGAAACCAACACGGAAGCGATGGAGACGAAGAGCGAACTCAGCCCCATAAGAAGCTTGAGAGGCAAATCTTTGCGGAAATCCCTAGGCTGATGGCGGGAAGTGAGGATGGAGAGGAACATGATGAGAGAGGTGATGGAGCAGCAGGAGAGCCAGGAGGGAGGTGAGCGCAAACGTTGAAAGCCGGGTGGCGTTCCAAGTATGGCTTGCCTGTCTCCTCCTGAGTGCCGCCGGGATGGTGGTGGAGGTGGCGAAGGCGACGCCAGCAATAAGTGCGGCCACCACGGAGCACGACTCCGAGGTGCTCTTGAGCCATTCAGCGCCTTCTCTGACCAGATCCTCGTGATCTTTTCTAAAATCTCCACGGGTGTCGCCGAGGTTGTTGTGAAGGAACAGGACATAGCGCGGCGTGAGCGCGATATAGATATCCTTGATATACTGCAAACACATGAATATAGAATTGATTTTGGTCAAGGAAGCTAATTAAGAAGAGGAACGAGAAAGAAATGATATACATATATATATGTGTGTGTGTATGATTACCAGAAACCATTTGATTTCCCACTGCATCTGCAAGGCAGAACCAGGGATGTGCCAGGGCTTATACTGGGAGAGCCTGGCGGCGACGTGGAGGACGGTGTTGCCGTCATTGTCTACGCCTCGAAGGAGATTATCCCACAATCTCTCCTCCTTGAGGAGCCCAAAAACATGGGGTTGCCGGTACTCAACTGCCACATGCAATACATTTTGGCCCTGCACATTGCTTTCGTGGATGGCCCCCGGCTTATCCTTCAATATTTTTTTCACTATTTCGACTACTCCATTCTTGGCCGCAATAAATAATGCCGACTCCCTCCTGTCCCCATTATTTTTCTTCTCTTCACCCCCTGCATCATATTCATGCAATTAGTACTCTATGAAGAAGAGAGTGAGATATGTATATACAGAGAGAGAGAGAGAGAGCTCTCACACAGGTATACGCAGCATCCGCTGAAAGACTTGCCGGCACATTCTTCAGCGTTGCCGGTGCACAAGCGTGCCAGGAATTCAGCCAATTCTTGAGAGTTTTGTAACATCGATTAGCCGTAACCAGATGAAGTAGAACGGTTTGTGCCAAATAAATATGCTTTTAATTATAGATTTGTATAAATTTTTCAAGATTATAAATATATAAATAAAAAAAATTACACACAGAATGCTTATATGTATACAGGAAGAATGAATGGATGTTGACCACCCAAAGTAGGAAATGTATGTTTGCCGTTTTATCTTCACGATATTGCTTTCCATCAAATATCTTGAATTTCGTCCATGATATGAGGAGCCACAGATATTTGCTCTTTAGATGACTCTCTTGTCTCTCATTTCTCACATCTTCCTTTTCTTTTTAATTTTTTAGGGGATATTTTACTGTACGATTCTTAAATAGATCAGCAGAGCGAGGGTGAGCCTGAGAACTGAGAACGTAGCTTTAATTTTATTGTTGTGACGAACCGTAATTAAAAAGTTCCAAGTTTCCAGGGAGATACCTTTTTGTTTGCTTTTATCCACAGGAACAATTTGAGAAGTCTTCTGTTCCGGTTTATTACCTGCAATTTTCCAATACATATATATATAAACACAGACGAAACTTACTCATATATATATAAATATATATCCTTCACATTTGTGATGATGGTTTAGAATATAGATCAGATTAATCACAATCAATGAGATTACAACCCGAACTTTGCTATACAATTGCAGAGAGAATAATACTGAAACATTTTTTGATCACCTTCCGGCTGGTTCTGATTGCCATCAGCATCTGGTTTTCCCTTTGTGTTGATATCATCACCTGCAATGGCAATTACAATTACAATGACGGCTGCATTGGGTTTGCTCCTGCATATCTTTTGTATTTCTTGTATATTAAAAGTTTCTTTTCTTCTTGATATAATGAATTAATTCTCCCCCAAAACCGTGTCAATATTATTGAATGTTGAAATGCTTGTCACGTTGTGTCGAAGCAAGAATGAAAAGAAGAAGGAATTTGAGGCCGAGGTCTATGGATAAGAACAATGACGAGGATTGTCTAGTGATGGAGAAACCTGGTTTTTGACGAGGATCGAAGTCAAAAGGATTCGTAGACTCTTCTTCTTCTCCTTCTCGTGTCATGGGAGGGCCGTGGGGCGCACTTCCATCTCCAACGTATGCTGTATTTTTATGCTTCCAAAGTGCCTCCAGTATGTGACCACACCAGACGTGCTTCTCTTTCTTCCTCCTTATTTCCTCCAATCCTTATTCAACAAATTCAATAAAATATACCATCATCAATCCTACATGTTACCACAACGCTGGGCTGTCGTCCATCAATTATTAGGGAGAGATCGATGAGCGTACCAAAGGCTCCAAAGATAAGCCACAGGAAACAGGTGACTGCTCGCATCAAAATGTGACAGAATGTCCGATAATTTGGCGGAACATTTTCGTATCCATAATCTCCCTCACATGGGTTCTCTGTATCCGCTGTTGTTCTGCTCCCACCACCTACAACAAAGCAACAGTAGTTGACTATAAAGTTAAAAGAATTGCATCAAGTACTCCTACAACGAAATATGTTTGTTTTCACTCAGGAACTTGCCCTTCTGGGTTTTTGCAGAGTCTGACCGGTTCAGGGATGTGCCATCGTTCTTCAAGCGCTGTTCCGGTATCACGAACGGCTCCAACATTATGCCTTCCACCACAAAAGGAAAATAATTAAACAATAATTATAATTATTATTTATACATATATATATTTAAGACGGGAGGTAATATGGGCGAGAAACGGAGAGCGAAAGTGTGGCACTTACAGTTGTAGACAAGCCTGTTATACCATCGGAAGTTGCTGCTGCTTTCGAAGGCGGAAGGTTTATTGGCCAGGATGTGCAAAGGAGTGATCCCCTTTTCATCCACAGAGCCCACAATCTGCTCTCCGCACAGACCAATGATTTCATACGCCAACTCTGCCATTAACATTAACAGTCATCAATTATCGATCATAACTAACCACAGACCAAAGGAACTCATGAAAGATTTAGAATGAAACCAAAGTGGTCTTGGCGAATGGTGCAGTGAAGCACGGTGTCCCCGTCCCTGGTTCGTCGGAAGGGCCCCACAGACTTGTCCGCGCAACGATCGTAAAGATACAGAAAAGCTTCCGTATGGCCTTGAAGGGCGGCCAAGTAGAGCGGCGTCTCTCCTTTCTTGTTGCGAGCTACGATCAAGTTGGAGTCAGCTCCTTGAGGTTGGGCTTGGGCTATGGACTCGCACATCTCGAGCGACCCTTTCCACGCTGCGCAGTGCAGTGGCGTGTCGCCTTTGTCATTCCCTATCTGCAGCGCCGATAACGACGACCTTATTGATAGTTGATGTACCAGCATCTTCACGATGTCTGCTCTGCCGTCTTTCACCGCCACATGCAACGCAGTGTCTTTGGTGCTGTTGATTGCTCTCCTGTGTATCTTCACGTTGCTTTCATATTCCTTCACAACCTCATTCCATTTCCCTTCTAATGCGCAGAAATATAAACTCTCCGCCTCCATCGACATCGGCATTTTAATTTGCATAGACTCTAGGTGGTGGTACTAGTGGTGGCGCTCACTTCTGATTTTATATACAAGATTAACATCACCCACTGTGCTGCCAAACTCCTTCCATAAATGACTATACAGTACGCAGGAGTAGGCGAAGCAAGAATATGTGACATTTCATTGTGAAAGAGCAAGGTATTATCCTTTGCTCTGTTTGTGTTCAGTGCATCACGTACGTTGTTTACCACAGTTCATCAAGGCCAACCCAAAAACAAATCCTACCACGTCCGTGCCACCCCTTCTTCTCAATTTTGTAACGTTTAAGCCTGCTTAAATATTCTCTTTTTTTTTTTTCAAAAATATTCTGATAATAGCTATACTAACTCTTATGACAAAACTACTTTCACCCCACGTACGTAGAGGTTGTAGACATGTTGTAATAACAACAAAATGCATGTCAATATCTAACTAATACGAATTCAATTTTTAATTATTGTGATTATTTGGCAACTGACAATGAAAATAAAAAGTATGAGTGCCTTATAAAGAGAAAAGGGTGAGATGTAGGGGAGGATGCAGGATTGAGTTATTTTTTTCCCGGAGGGATTTTGAGGAAAGGATAAAATATCATGCACTTTAAAAACACACATATATTACTATATGTAAAAAAATTGGTCTAAAAACATACATAATATTTTTTTACATATTAAAATCAAGTTACATTCTTTCACATTATAAAATTTTTCAATTAATGAAAAGTATAATAATACTATAAGTCATTCTAAAAACGTTATAAAGCTCTAACAGTATTAATTTTTACATTAAGAATGAACACATATCACTTTTAATGTCAACAAGAAAAATTTGTATTTTATATTATAATTATAAAATATTAATGAAGTGAAAAATAGATAGCTGGAGAATGTGTAAGAATTAAGCCTACGTTTGATTTGTACTAAACTTCCTCTTTAATAGATGTCTCATTTTCTTTTTCTTTTTTTTTAAGTGAATGCTGCTGTCCTGTGAATGTATATCATCCTCCTGTAGTTCAATTTGTTCCTTTTGTCAGATACAGACTTGATTTCTTTTGAAAAAATAACTTTAACTGCGAGAAGCAAACTCTCATTCTGCAAAAACATAAAAAAGTTTCGAAATTGGTGCGACTCTTGAATTGAATTCGTGTATACGGTAAATAATAAAGACTACACTCGTTTTAGGGATCTTTATAAATAGCGCCAAATATCAGCTTTGATTAGGGGATAAACGTTGTAAGAGAGACTCAATTCAATAACCAAACGAAGCGATTTAGAATATCTCTTTTCATTAGATGATCATGGGAGATTTTTATACGGTAATAAAATTTGAAACAACACAACAATGAAATCATCACTTCAAAATACGTGCTGGCCGGAGCTGTTGATAACAAAATGGAGGACTATTCGGTGATTGGGATAATAATGATGGAAAAGGAATTAGAGTTTCAGAGAATAAGCTTCTCAGATTCTCTATTACTGGACTGGGGATCCTTGCGGAAGATAGCTCTGACAAGATCAGCATAAAGGGGGAATTGGGAGACGGCGTAGAAAGCAACGGGCAAGACGGTGGCGGCGTAGAGCGGGAAAACAACCTGCTTGAGGTTGTCCTTGAGCACAAAGAAGAATGCGGCGGAGAAAGAAACCAACACGGAAGCGATGGAGACGAAGAGCGAACTCAACCCTAAAAGAAGTTTTAGAGGCAAATCTTTGCGAAAATCTCTAGGCTGATGGCGGGAGGTGAGGATGGCGAGGAACATGATGAGAGCGGTGATGGAGCAGCAGAGAGCCAAGAGGGAGGTGAGCGCAAACATGTTGAAAGCCGGGTGGCGTTCCAAATTAGGCTTGCCGGTCTCCTCCTGAGTGCCGCCGGGAACGGTCGTGGACGTGGCAAAGGCCACGCCGGCAATAAGTGCGGCCACCACGGAGCACGACTCTGACGTGTGGTTGAGCCAATCAGTGCCTTCTTTGATTAGATTCTCGTGATCTTCTCTGAAAATTTCCACCGGTGTCTTATGGCCTTTATTCCGGAGGGATGACACATAATTGGGCATTATATCCTTGACATACTGCAAAAAAGCCGTAGATTATATGCAACTGAGATCAAACTATATGTTCAATTTGATTAAGGATGAAGTTGAAGAGGAATGAGCAGTAGTTAATGATACCAGAAACCATTTGATTTCCCACTGCATTTGCAAGGCAGATCCAGGGATGTGCCAGGGCTTGTACTGGGAGAGCCTGGCGGCCAAGTGGAGGATAGTGTTTCCTTCATCGTCTATGCCTTGAACGAGGTTATCCCACAGCGTCTGCTGCTTGAGAAGCTTAAAAACATAGGGTTGCCTGTACTCGACTGCTATATGCAACACATTTTGGCCTTTCGAGTTGGTTTCATGGATGGCCCCTGGTTTATCCTCCAGAATTTTCTCCAGTATTTCCAAAATTCCATTTTTCGCGGCAATAAATAATGCCGACTCCTTCCTGTCCCGTTCTTCCTTCTTCTCTCCGTCGCCTGCAGATAAATCCAATGAATATGGCGCTGCGGAATCTGAGTACGGAAATAGAGGATATGCCGCTAACCTAGGCATATGCAGCATACGGTTAAAGCCTTGCTTTCAGATTCCCCAGTTTTGCCTTTGCACAAGCTTGTGAGGAGTTCTCGCAATTCTTGAGAGTTTTGGAAGGTTAATTAAGACAATAAGAGAACAAAAGGAGCTGAGAAATACTTTCATTTTACATGTTGTGATTACAGACTTTCAAGTTTCAAAATTCAATGACCTGATATAATTAATGTCAGAGAGTTACCTTTGAATTTGTTTTCAACCACATCAACAATTTTAGCCTCCTCAGTCTTTTTATCTGCAATTCATAAAGTAGAGATCAGATTTTGGATCGTTTTAAAAAATAGAATATAAGTCAGATTAAGCACAATAAGAATAATACGACGACCCAAACTTCGGGTTCTATGTTTTGGCCTGCAATTAATTACATAGTTTTTGCAGAGAAATCAGGAAATTTCGACTACCTTCCTGTTGATTCTGATTGCTATCATCATTTTGTTTCGTCGTTTGGCCTGCAATTGCAATTATTAAATTATAAGTTGGTATCACTCTATTTAGAAATTTCGGCCCAAGTCTTGCCATCCATAATATATATATATATATATATATATTATGTCATGCAACAATGAGGTATAAGTTTATTTTCACTGTTTTGAGTCGATTTTCTTTCTTTCTTTTTTGGTGAAACTAAGTCTGTTTTCTGGATGGATATAACATGCACACTCACGGTGCCACAAGCCCAATAAAAATAAAGGTGGGCGTTGCGGGTGATTCATTGTTGCAAATAGAACTTGTCGCTACCATGAAATTAACCTAAGTGAAAAACCTTGTTTGTCAACGATCCGACCACTAGGTCTGGGAAATGGTGGTTCTCCTTCGGTAGTTCCATGATGTAAGGAATAGCTGTGGAGGGCACTTCCACCTCCAACGTATGCTACATCTTTATGCTCCCAAAGTCGACCCAGTATTTCGCGACACCGGACGTGCTTTTGTTTCTTCATCTTCAAATCCTTTAGTTCCCGAAGCCCTTTATACAAACAAAACCACACGTACGGTCGCACAGAGAATTAAAACCATGATTCACAAATACTGCCTCTCAAGCGTATTGGCCAATTTGATTTTACTACCTCCGGTCTTAATTATAAGAGCTAGTTGACTAATTTGAGAAGATTAAGAAAGAAGTTAAGTTAGTTATTTGTCATAAATAAGTGTTGTCTTTCCTAAAATATCCTTACTAATCAAGTGTATTGGCTAGAACTATCATTATTAGAAGGACTATTTTGAAAAAAAATACATAAATATTAGAGAGAAAGTCAATTGGGGTCTTATATTTAGGACCAAGATAAAAATCAAACAATATTCTATATTAAGGACTGGATGTAGTATTAAAGAAATTTGTTAAGTTAATTATTTGTAATAAATAATGTTGTCTTTCCTAAAATATCATTGCCAATCAAGTGTATTGGCTATAATTATTATTATTACAAAGACTACTTTAAAAAATGGGTAGATATAAGACACAAAGTGAATTGAAGTCTTATATTTAGGAATAAAATAAAGTCGAACAAGTTCTTATATTGAGAATCGGAGGTAGTAATTATAGGGTTATAGTGCATCCAGCACCCTAAAATATTTTGTGTTGTATAGCATTTGACATATTTTTTTCATGTGCTTTCTGACATATTTTTTTCATGTGCTTCCTGACACCCTAAATTATATTTTGGTACATCCAGCATCCTAAAATTATTTCTTGATGCATGCATTTGGCACCTTAAATTGTTATGTGTAAAATTGCACTAAAAAATACTTCAGGGTATTGGATGTAGTAGAAAAAATATTTTTAGGATGTTGGACACAATACTAAATATTTTAGGATGTTGGATCTATCCAAAAAAATATTTCAAGTTACTGGATGCATCTTACCCCATAGTTATATATATCAGCACAATTAAGCCAGCTTGACAGTTACTAATATTATACTCCCTCTGGCTCTATTTATAAGTAACTTTGAACTTCATTGCGTGGATTAAATAAAATTAGCTAAAGACAATAAATAAGTAGAGATTTTGAGTTTTTTTCTCTAAAATATCTTTATTTATGGAGGGAGAAAAAGTATAAGAAAGAGAATAAAAAAATTATTATAATAAAAAGAGTTATGAAAGAGAGAGAATTTGTGATGGAGAAAAATGATGATTTGAGAAATGAGATAATAAATATATTAAGTATTAAAATAAATAATTAATGAGAGTAAAATAGAAAAATTGTCATAAAAATTTAAAACAAATTATAAATATTGCTTATATTTAAAACTAAGAGAAAATAATAATTGTTGTTTATAAATAGTGACGAGAGAGTAATTAAGTAGAGATGGAGAGTGCATACCAAGGGTGCCATTGCCAACGACAGACAGAATAACAAAAGTGAGCGCACGCGCGAAAATGTCAAAACATGTCCAATAATTTGGCGGCACATTTTCATGTCCATCCCAACTTGGATTTTCTGCATCCGCTCCTGCGCGCAGCAAAACATTAACAGATCATAAGATATAAAGGAACATATATATGATCAAACTCAAACAAGCCACCCTAGCTAGACTACTTAATTACTATATGCAACTATATACTTTTCTCTGATCTTATTTATACGAGAGAGAAGATGCTTTTTATTCTTATAAGGCACTAAGAAAATTTTTTTAATATGGATGTACAGTTTTACCTTTATTTATTAATATGTTGATTTGTTTACACGTATAATGTATATTAAATAAGGATAAAGTTAAAAAATTGTTAACTTTTAAATGAGAATTAATGAAATTTAAAATTTTTCTTAGCATGTATCAAACATATTAAAAGTCACTTATAGGGAGGATGAAATGAACATACTTGAGGACCTAACTGAGCAAACTAAAGATATACGAAGTATGTTTTCATTTAGATTGAACTTGCCAGCCTGGGTTCTCTGTCTTCCAGATGATTTTATCCGGAGCAATGGGCCAGTCTTTGGGTGCTGTTCGAGGCTCCTCAATGACTTCACGTATATGCCTTCCGCCACAAAAGGAAAATAAATAAATACTTGAATTATTGACATATCTAGGAGACTGTGTGTATTCTAAAATATAAAGAATACTAAATAATTACTATAACTTATTTTTTTGTTATTCAGATTTTTACAAATTGACATCCACGTAATAAATAAGGGGCTCATGTTCTTTGTTTCTTTCTCTTTCTTTTTTCGGTCCCCTTTCATGAATTCAGCTCTCTCTTGTCCGGTAAAGAAGGAGGTCAAAGGAGGAAAAAAACAAAGAAAGAAATGCGGGGCCACTGGATCTCATGGATGCTGGCTCCAACATCAGTTCCCCCCCCCCCGGGGGCCCAAAAAAAAAAAAAAAGAAGCTAGCGATATGCTTACAGTTGTAGACAAGCTTGTTGTACCATCTGAAATTGCTGCTGCTTTCAAAGGCGGAAGGTTTGTTGGCCAGGATATGGAGAGGAGTAACTCCCTTTTCATCCACAGAGCCCACTATGTCCTTTCCGTAAAGATGAATGATTTCAAATGCCAACCCTGCGAAGAATGCGAACAGAAATGGGTTAAATGATTAATGAGAATAAGGGATGGAGATGAAATGAATGAACAAGGGAGTAACCAACCAAAGTGTTCTCGGCCTATGGTGCAGTGAAGGATAGTCTCTCCATCGCTGGATCTTTTCCAGAGGCCACTACTTGGGTCGGGGCAACGAGAGTGTAGGTAAAGGAAAGCATCCATATGGCCGTGAAGAGCGGCCAAGAAGAGAGGAGTCTCTCCTTTCTCGTTGCGAGCTTCAATCAGTTGGGTGTCCCGTTGAGCTTCGGCGATGCACTTGCACATCTCGAGGGACCCTCTTGACGCCGCACAGTGCAGTGGGGTATCCCCTCGATGATTCTTTGTTTTCAGCGCCGACAACGACCCAAGTCTCGTGATTTCCATCAGTAGATTCTCCACCATATCTTCCCTGTGGTCGTTCACCGCCACATGCAACACTGTGTCGCCGTAGCTGTTGATCGGTTTATCGTGAATAATACTCACCTTGTTTTTGTATATCGTCAAAGCTTCATTCCAATGACCCTCTAGCGTGGAATGGTATAAACTGTGCGTCGTCGTCAGAATATCCATATCAGAATCCATATATTGCGTTTTGCCCTGATGCGCGAACCAACACAGCGTGACTGTGTGTGTTAAGATGGTGGCAGTGGCTGGTGGTCACTTCGCTCCCAAAACTCGCTTTTTATACTGCTCAACTGCTCCCATGTGTGTCTGTACAGTACAGAGGAATCTCTTTTCATTATATTGTGGAAGGACAATGTAATATCTTTTTCTATTTTCATTTTGCATCAATTAATAATTATACATATATGTATATGGAACACGTTGTTTGCCCTTCCGAATGTGATGAGCAACAATAACCTAGAAACAAATATCCTACGAGGCTGAGATGGATTCTCTCCAGCCCTTTGAAGAGTGTGGTGGCATAGTAAAACATAAACCCAAAAATAAAGTATAGTACGTAGTGTGTTAAGCATAGCTTGTAGAGGTGAACCAAGGGATAATCTGAGCACACCTGAACTTAGTGATTCTGTTTAAGTTGATAATTCCTTAATTATATATAATCAGATAAATACGTGTCGGAAAGTGTGAGCACACATTGTCTAATAATGGCTCGATCCTGACCATAATAGTACTCTTCCTACACAATTTCTTCCTGTTTATAAGGGTTATAGGCATGTTAATTAACAATAAAACGTGAATACAGCTTATCCAGGGGGAAAAAAGTGCACATAACTAGTCTGAATTTAATCTCAATTCAAATTTTTTCAAAGAAATTTACCCCAACCTACTCCTTTTTTTTAAAAAAAAAAAAATAAGGAAGACAGACGCACACACGCATCGCATACCCTCTATTAGATTAATCTCACCACCTTTTATTTGTGAGCTGTCATTTGAGTTAAAGGTTCTTGGCATATATTTTTAATTATTTGAAAATTAAAAAAATATAAAAGAAAAGCGTAACAAAAGAGAAAGGTGGGAAGAACATCTGGCTGTGAATATATACGTACGTATGTCATCCTCCCTCGAAGTTAATTTGTTCCAATTTCGTCAGAGCCAATGCTATTTCTTTAAAAAAAAATAAATAAATAACTTTGACTGCGAGAAGTAGATTTGTACCGGCGGCGGCAGCAGCAGCAGCAAGAATAATAATAATAGTAAATTGACGCTACTGGTCCTTTTTATAAAAGCCTAAAATTTGAATTGCCTTGTTCCTTTTTATAAGAAGCTATTTAGAATTTTCTGAACATTTAATTTATTTTTACCATTTTTGTCCCTAATTAATTTTCAACATTACATTAATTAAAAGGTTGAAAACTTGGCATATTATCTTCTTTTTCATGCTTTCTCTCATTATTACTATATCTCTCTCTCTTGCCCCCTCACAAATAAAGATATGCTTCAGAAAAAAGTTTATTTTTACATATTTATTACTTTTAACTAATTTTAACTATTATCTTAAACATCGTAATTTAATTATCAGGCTCTTATAAAAAGTACCAGAGGCAGTATAATTCTCAACTTGCCTTAAAACTTTAATGGCTGTATTAAAATGAAAAAAAAAAAGAGGAATATGTAGAATCGAATGCGTGTTGAGTTTAAAAGACTAACACCCGTACTAAATCCTGGCTGGGGTTTCATGTTGACTCTTTTTGGGACATGCAAATAGTTTAAACTAGCTTCTAATTCATACGTGTCGGCAAAGAGTGTTTTCATTTCTCAAGGGATCATTCTCAATTCTCAAATCAAATGTGCGTTCCAATGGCAATCTTGAAAATTACGAAATTGACATCCTCACTTTAGACAGAACCTTTCGCTTTGCCCTGTGGAAAGCACCAGCCAAATATACCCATGCGTTTCACTCCACGCATAATATTTTCTCTCCTCTTTCCTTTTTATTTTTAAGTTGGGTATTAAATGTGATTTAACAAGGTTGAAACAGTGGTTTATCATTTTATGGACTAACACCTTTTATTAGACGAAATTTCTGTTAATCACCACTTATATTCCTTAATTCTTAGTCCCCCGTCACTTGAGAAAAAATCAGTGCATCTTTTGTTTTATTCAAGGAGGAAGGTTGGGGGCGCATTATTGAATAAATAATAGTGAAAAAATAGGCCTCATAACTAATCAACTTGTATCGCTTTCTCACTTTTGGCATGTGATACGAGGCATATTTTTGTAAGTTTTACATTTCAATTTCGGCAAAAATATATAGACCATTTCTCGAAACTTTTTCCAGAACCATAAATAAGTAAATAACTCACAATAAAAAAAACATGTGATTAATGACGGAATTTTTATTTAGCACTTTGTTGGTAATAAGCTGTTTTTTTAGTACTTCCTTCAGTTCAAATTATACTTTTTGTGAGCTTTTATTTATTTATTTATTATTTTCATTTTTTCACTCAAAGCCTCCTTTCTGTTCATCCTATTAACACCGTTTGCGATATCACAATAATGAAACACACATGGCATTTTTCAACACAAGCGTAATTTTAAGAAAAGGGAACGCATTATCTGAAGAAAAGAGCGACGGGCGAAACCATAGTATGACTTCCGATGCTCTCACTGTCCTCACGTCTTCATCTGATGGTCCCTGGCATTAGAGAGGCTTGGGCACAAACATTTCTTTATTTTCTAAGCCTTTTTTAATATATAATTACTATATATTAAATGATTAATTTCCATAAGATGTCTTCTGTTCTCTCTTAATTTGACCAGTCAATTTCTGTTTATAAGATAACAGAGAGTTAACATGGAGGTCCGTGGTTTTAAAAAAAATAAATAAATAAAGACTCAAGCAGATTAATTTTAAACTTTAAAATATTCCTGGTAAAAAAAAACTTTAAAATATTAGGGGTTATATGTATTTAAGCTCAGGAGAGGCGACTTATATATGTTAGCTTCCAATTTATAAAACATTTGGTAAAATGTTAAAGAGTTCGTAATCAATGTGTTTATTTCGAAAATAATGTCCCTAACAAATTAAAAATTACTTAAACTCCATTAATATAGTTCATTTCCAATGAAGAAAATCAACTGTTTTTAACAAATATGTTTGGAAGTATGAGAATGTTTTATAGACATCAATCGATTAGGTGTGAGTTACTTTAAATTGCCTTCTATAATAAGTGGTTGAGTACATGTAAGAGATTTAATATATTATCAATTAATATAACACTAAAAGTTGAATGGATCCATGCCTTAGCAAATAATTAATTAAATAGTGATTAACTAACTGCTTCATAGCTAGTGATTTGGTGAAAATACTTAGCCTTTTGTGGGGGCTCGGTGATTGTTCATTTTTGTTGGATCATCTACTCTGCAGACCCCTGATATAGGACCTTTTAAATTGGTCATAATTACTTAAAATATCCTTATTTATCTTAAAGTATTTAGAAAATAGAATCGACTCACTCTTTTAGGTGGGTAGTTTTAAAAAATACATTGTTACTTAATCTAACCTTTCATGTTTCGCTTAATTTAAGTTTGATACAAGCTATCGTATCTGAGAAAAAACAAAAACAGTGGCACGTGAATGATTTCTTTGTTTAATTCAAAAACAACGACGAATCACTTACATAGAGGCTGCTCAAGTCAACGAGGTTTATAATCTCCCATAATAAACCAACAGGCACAAATGACACGAATTGGTGGAGGAAAAGCAATTATTGAAGATCAGAAAATGCAGGTTTCAATTGGGAGGGGAACAAATGGACGAAAGAAAGACAAGAAACTCCGTCGCCAGAGGAAATATATAATCAGACATGGCCAGAAGGGAGTGACTGGGGAACCTCTGTAATAATGGATTTCAAAAGATCCATGTAAAGCGGAAACTGTACGATTGCGTAAAAGGAAACAGGAAGGCAGGTGGCGGCATACAGAGGGAACACTGCCATCTTGAATTTGTCCTCGAGCACGAAGAAATGTGCGGCGCAGAAAGATATAAGCATCGAGGCAATGGACACAAACAGCGAGCTCAAGCCCAGAAGAATCTTGAGTGGCAAATTTTTCTTAAAATCTTTGGGTAGTTTTCGAGAGGTGAGTATGGAAAGGAACATGATCAGCGCAGTGACAGAGAAGCAAAGCCCAATAAGTGCAGTGATAGCGAAGAGTTCAAATGCCGGCTGTCGTTCTAAGGTCGGTCTGCCAGTATCACCATTAGTCCAGCCGGGGACTTGGCTCGACGTTGCAAAGGAAACTCCGGCAACCAGCGCAGCCACCACCGAACAAGATTCAGACGTATCCTTGAGCCAGTCGCCACTGTCTTTGACCAGAGTTTCATGACCTTGAGTGAAGATTTGTTCCGGAGTTTCGTCTTTTGCATTGCTAAGGGAAAGGAAGTGGGGTGGCGACAAGGATTTCACATACTGCAATAACAATTCAAATTCCATCGTCAAAAGAGTACATGGATATTGTGAGGATAGCGCTTAGACATGCCTCCTTAATTATAGCAAGTTAAATTACCTCATACCACTTGATTTCCCATTGCATCCGCATGGCAGTGCCATGAATTTGCCAAGGATGTACCTTGGATTCTTCATACTTGGCTGCTAAGTGCAATATAGTATTTTCATAAGTATCCACTGATTCAATGAGGTCAGCCCAAAGATTAAGCTTTAACTCTTTGTTTACTTGTTTCTGCACTGCCTCAATAACCCTGGGTTGCCTGTTCTCCACTGCTACCTGCAATATATTTTTATCCTTTGATGTGGTATCGTAGATGGACACCGGTAGTTGGCTTAGAAATTCGTTCACTACTTCAATTACGCCTTTCTGGGCTGCCACCAACAAGGTTGTATAAGTTTCTGTCTCCTCCTTTGAGTCCCCACCATTGCCTGCCTTATCCATGCACATACATAATATATAGTATTCAAATTCATCCATTCATCCATCAATACTATTTCTAACAGCATGACATTGAATGTTTATGCCTGCTTTATTCATTAATACAGCAGAGATATATATCGTATGTTTAATTGATTTGAAACAGCTGAAAATTCAATGGACTATACCTTTTTGATGAACTTGAGCATTCGTTGGTGCATTTTGCTTTCTCGGATCCGCGGGGTTGGGCTTGGGCTATGGACTCGCACATCTCGAGCGACCCTTTCCACTCTGCGCAGTGCAGTGGCGTGTCGCCTTTGTCGTTCCCTATCTCCAGCGCCGATAACAACGACCTTATTGACGGTTGATGTACCAGCATCTTCACGATGGCTGCTCTGCCGTCTTTAACCGCCACATTCAACGCAGTGTCGTTGGTGCTGTTGATTGCTCTCTTGTGTATCTTCACGTTGTTTTGGTATTCCTCCACAACCTCATCCCATTTCCCTTCTAATGTGCAGAAATATAAGCTCCACCTCCGTCGACATCGGCATTTTGCCCAGATTCTACCAGGTGGTGGCGCTCACTTTAAATTGAAAACTCGCATTTATATACTAGATTAACATCACTCACTGTGCTGCCAAACTCGTCCCGTAGATGTCCATACAGTACCGAGGAGTGGGCGAAGCAAGAATATATGACCTTTCATTGTGAAAGAGCAAGGTATTATTATCTTTTGCTCTGTTTGTGTTCGGTGCATCACCTGCGCTGTTTACCACAGTTCATTGAGGTTATTCGAATTAGCTTTTGTGAATAGTTTCTAGAAAAAAGTGATCAAAAAGATTATTGGAAAAATATATTTTAAAAGAATAGATTTTGTTAAAAGAATAATTTTGAAAAATTAAAAATATATGTTTGAATTATTATTATCAGAATTATTTTTCATTTGTAAATTACTAAAAATATATAAATAATATATATATACATGTGAATTCGTAATATCAAACTACAACTATTTTTTGTTCTCAATATAAAATTTAGTTTGCAGTTTAAACTACATTTCATATTAAGAATATGAGGTACTCTTCCGGTCCTTAATGTAGTTTCTAATTGTTGAGTTGATATAATGGTCCTAAATGTAAAAATTATTTTTTATATTTATTAATTTTTTCTAAATTACCTCTATTGATACTCCCTTAACCATAATCAAGTAGAAAAAGGATGGGCAATACTACCTCCGGTCCTTAATATAAAACCTTGCTTGACTTTTATTTTGGTCCTACATATAAGATCCCAATCCACTTTGTCTCTCATATTTATATATTTTTTTTCCAAAGTAATCATTCTAACAATGGTAGTTCTAGCCAATACAGTTGATTAGTGAGGATATTTTAAGAAAGACAATACCTATTTGTTACAAATAATTAACTTAACTTCTTTCCTTAATCTCTTCAAATTAGTCAACTAGCTCTTATAATTAGGACCGGAAGCAGTATTAAAAAAGATGATTAAGAGTTTTAGGAAAAAACACGTTACATTTCTTACAATTAATTAACTTACTTGATTTTCTTAATATAATAAAATTAGTTAAATAAATCTTATATTAAAGACCCGAAGATGGAAGATTACTACAAACATGCATAATGTTGTTTATACTTTATTGAAATTAAGTTTACATTCTTTGACATTATAAAAGTCTTGAACAAATGAATCTGTAATAATATTACAAGTCATTCTAAAATCTTTTAAAAATATAATAACATTAATGTTTACAAAAAAAAAATAGTATTTGATATTAATGATTTAAAAATCTAATGAAATAAACTTATATAGGAAGCTGCGGCCAATATACCCGTATCGCCATGCGTCTCATCGCCCCCCTCAAATTGCAGGAGAGGTTTTTTTTTTTTTTTTTGGTCAGGCAGGAGAGGTTGACTTTGTCTACCATTTGATTTCCATTGGACTTTTCTTTTGGAGTATATGTTTAGTTTTCTTCCTGTAGTTTGTTCCTTTCTTCAGACAGAGTCTGATTTCTTTTCAAACATAAGCTGGGCAAGGGTGGAATTTCGCTCCTTATCTTATTTATTATATGTACCCAATACTCTGATTTTTAATAATACAATTTTATCCATAATTTTTTTTATACAATTGAGAAATAAGACTAGAGGTAAAATTGTATAAAAAAAAAGATTATAGGTAAAATTAAATTACCAAAAAAATTGAGATGCTAAGTGTACCTAAAAAATAAGATTAGGTATAAAATTGTACTTTTACCCAAATAACATTAACTGCCAGAAGCAAGCTGTTATATGTATTTTATATTAAAGTATAAATTTATCTTAAAAGTTTTAACTCATGAATGCTAACATTTTTTTGAGTGAAAATTTATTAGGAAAATGACAATTTTGATTTTAAATTTTACAAAACACATAGTGAGATTTACAGTTTTTATAGTAAGGGTTACTACTTTATCAATGGGTTTTGCAACCTGTTTTGAAAGGCTAGTTAAGTTTTCTGTTAAAAAAAAAATTCCACGCCAAATTTTATAAACACATAGTGGGATTTACAACTTTCATAATGAGATTTACTACTTGGTTAATGAGTTTTGCAATCTGTTTTGAGAGGTTGGGTAATTTTTTTGTAAAAAAACAATACAATTCCATGTTAAATTTTACAATACATAGTGAGATTTACAACTTTCATAGTAAGAGTTACTACTTTGTCAATGGGTTTTACAACATGTTTTGAGGCCAAAAATAAAAATTCTAGATTAGTACCTGATGCCTTTTTTATCATTTTGTTTTTTCGGATGCCTTATTTGTCATTTTGAAATTTAGAAGATATTTTATTGTCATTTTTCCAAATTTATTCTAAAAGTTTAAAAATTGTAGCAATGATGCCCTTATAATTAAAAATGTAAACAATGAATGTGACTATTTTAATCGCTAACATTAGTTTTTTAACAATATGGAATAATATTGCTAATATTTTAAATTTTTCAAATAAATTTGCACCAAAAAAAATTTACATGCTTAGTGCTTCTAATTAAAAATTTCTAAGACAAATTTACACACCTTTTTTTTTTTTTTTGGAAAAAAACAAAAGCTCTAAAATTGATGGCACTCGTATTTCTTAATTTTGTCTCTGCCATGTATACTTTAAATACTACTACCTCCTCTGATACTTAATATAATAATCAATTTAACTTTTAATTTGATTCTAAATATAAGACCCAAATTCATTCTATCACCCTTTTTTTTTAAATTCTTTTTAAAGGTAATTCTTGTAATAACAATAATTCTAGATACTATGCTTAATTAGTAATGATATTTAAACAAAACCCATATTTATTATAATAAAATTCACTAATTTTTTTAATCTACTGAAATTAGTCAATTAGCTTTTATATTAATTTCATATTGAGGATTGGACATAACAAAACACTCCTGATGGGAAAAAAAAACTAAAACACTCTTGAATCGAATTCGTGTAAACGGTGAAGAATATAACGACTACACCCTTACAGATCTTTAATGCGCCAAATCAGCTTCTGATTACGGGTCACGTTGACGTAAGAGAGATTATATTCAATAAAGGCAGTAACTTGGAATATCAGAGAGGTGCAACTCTCCAAAGCTTCCAGTTATTCATTAGATGATCATGGGACATTTTTGTACAATACGAAAACTTGAAACAACACAACAACGCAGCCATTATTTCATTTAAGAATATTTGATGGAGCTGTTGATAGCAAATTAAACAGAGCACTATTCGGTAATTGGGACAACAATGACGGAAAAGAAATTAGACTGTCAGAGAATAAGCTTCTCAGATTCTCTATTACTGGACTGGGGATCCTTGTTGAAGATAGCTCTGACAAGATCAGCATAGAGGGGGAATTGAGCCACCACTACAAAAAAAAATATGTCAATTATAACGGTTAGAGTGAAACATTTCTAGCGGTTTTAACCGCAACAAATAACATTTCTAGCGGTTAAAAAAACCGCTAGAAAACCAGGCGCAAGAAAAATTTTCTAGCGGTTATAGCAACCGCTACACATCATGGTCAAAACGCTAGAAACTTTCTAGCGGTTTCTAACCGCTAGAAAATGTGTAAATGAAAACATTTCTAGCGGTTTTGTAACCGCTAGAAATGTTCAACGGAATAAAATTTATAGCGGTTTTATAACCGCTAGAAACATGCTAAACCATATTGCCGGGATTAAATAATTTCGCGCCGAAATTTCTAGCGGTTAGAGAACCGATAGAAATGTTTGGGAAATTAAATTTTCCCGCCAATTAAATTTTTGGAATGGCGGCAAAAAAATTTTCTAGCAGTTAAAACTGCTAGAAATTTTAGCGCAAAATTTAAATTTGACGAAATATTTCTAGCGGTTTGGAACCGCTAGAAATGTTTTCTGTGTCAGAAAAAAAATTTATGGTTTTTCATATTATAATTTTAAAAACCATTAAATAAATTATGTTGAAGAATTTTTGTTAATTTGTATAATTAGTTATATGTTACATTTTATATATTTAAATTTTGTAATAAACAATATGTAATTAAATTATGAGTGTGTCAAAAGAAGTGAATTTAATTTAATAAGATAATTGAATTGAATATTTAATAAGATAGTTGAATTGAAGATGATATATTTTGTAATATTGAACTTATAGTGTTAGGTTGAGGAGTATTTGAGGAGGGTATGACAAGTGTGAAGCAGAAAAATCTGAAAGAAAAGGAGAAATAAATATGTTAGTAAATTTTAAATAAAAACAAATAAAAGATACAATGAATTATGAAATAAAATTCACTTACCATACAGTAAAGAGAAAGAAACCACCATATGAGATAGTAAGGAAAAAAGAGAGAATTATGAAGAAGAATAGGAGAGGAAAGAAAAGAGATGGAGTAAATGAATGTAGAGAAGATATGGTATTTATAGGGATCAGCGACACATTTGTAGCGGTGTTTTTGTAGCGTTTTATTGCATTTTGTAGCTGTTATTCATTT